TTGGGTATCCACAAGTCTCCCCTTTGCAGACATGCCCACCTTTTGTCCCATGCAGTTTTAGGGCAAAAACCATGCAGTTTTTTGATGTGGTATATGTTATTTTTGCCTAGTGTATTTCTGCATACATACCCTAAACGGTATTGGAACAGCATAAATCGGGCAGGAATGGAAAATTGAGACACAGACTTCATACCACCCCTGCATAAGTCAGTGCCTCTCTTGTGGCCCCCCAGTCAAAAAAGTCCAGATACGCCCCTGCTGGATGAAGTCAGCCTAGCTTAGCATAAAGCCTGGGAGCAGGAGAAAACAGTATAAAGTAATCAGTAGCTGTTGGTCCGGGGATTTTGTTTCTTTTCAAACAGAGCCAGCATCGCTGTTTTTCACTGCCTCCACTCTTTACGCCAAGCTAAGCCAACACTGACACCTGACCTTAACATCTATCAGGACAGTGTGTCAGTATCCTTCACATACATATAAATATATCCTTAAATGCTGTTAGCATCCTGTTACTTTTGAAAGGTTCTTGTATTGCAGGTTACACCTCCGTTAGGGACACTTGAACCTATTGAAATAAATGACTTGATTAACAAGTCATCCATTCAGTGTTCAGAAATAGATATACGTAATATGTATGTTCAGTGTTAATAGGCGAGTGACAGAAGTGGGCATCTATGTATAGTGCACCCTAAGGTCCTGTGGAGTCATGACAAGGAAGCTGTAAGTGGTAAAATGAGATGTTGTGTAATCAGTTAAAGGGTCATTACAGTCAGGGAAGCTCTAATAATCAGACTGCACAGACATGAACTGACAGTTCACAATTACCAAACAATATGGTAAAAATAATCATTTCCCTGCACTTTATGTTTAAATGTGAATGTTTGTCAGCATGTTTAATACATTACACTGAAACAGTAAAAACATGAATTGACAGGCAGATTGGAATAGAAAGATTTATTCCAGCTAGTGGTTAAAGAGTAAAGCCCAGTTCAGACCAAAGATTCACAACAAGAAGAAGAATCAACCATTAATGTCAGCAAAGAGTGGTAGAGAACTTTACACAAACAAGCAAACAAACCCTCACCACACACAAACAAATGTCTCTCTCACGCACACGCATTGCAAAGCTGTATTACACGGGTGCTATGGCCACACCAATTCTTTTTCATAGCTCACATGAAACATATGTCGCTGTTTGCGTTTCATATATTACATTTTGAAGATTAGAATAGAAACATTTCACTCCATGTGCTGGGCTGATCTCCCTCCCAGCTCACAGCTGAACACATGCAAACTAGATACTGTGACCCTCCCTATATGCGCCCTCCCTCTCTCTCTCTCTCTCTCTCTCTCTCTCTCACACACATACACACACATTTGGAAAGTGATATGAAGTTAACCACTTCCTGTTCCAAGACATCCAGAATGCACCCTGCCAGATGTGGTTATATACAGTACAGCTTCCAAAGGCCGTGATCTTTCCCATAGCTTTCTAGCTCTGTGTATACTAGTAAACATTTTACTGTATCTGTTTCTCTTGACTCGATGGGTCAGTGGGAGTTGCAGTATATCATGTCTGGTTATCTGAGCCAGACACAAGTAGGGCAGTCGTTCTCTGAGCTTGTTTCAGGATGGCATTTCTAAACAAATTCTTTGAATTTCCTTATTTCCAGCTTACTGTGTCCCAGGTTTCCTTTTGCTTTAGGAATATGGATGAGATCCAAAAGGGTGAATAATCTGGGACAGGTATTCTTGGTTACACTCCATATTTTCACTGAAGCAGAACATACTTTTAAATGTTGCAACTTAAAGGTCCAGTTGAACATTTATACTATATGTTTTTTTTTTTTTTTTTTTTTTTTTTTTTTTATACTTATATTAACATGGCAGTGGAACACACACATTTATATATATATATATATATATATATATATATATATATATATATATATATATATATATATATATATATATATATATATATATATATATATATATATATATATATATATATATATATGTGTTTCCACTGCCATGTTTCTCCAGGCCTCTCTCTGGCTCTCTGGCTTTTGCAGCCACCGTAGTTTCTCCATTTACGGAATGGGAAGGTGAAGCGAGGGGGTTGGATTCTGTAACTACACTGCCAGACCATCATTAAATCCTAAACACTGGAGCTTTTAAGGCAGAGGTAAAGTCCCAGTTTTAATAATTTGTCCAGGAAACAAAGAACAAAGCTTTGGAAACTTGTTATCTGGCAAGGACATGAAATAGCATGAAGAGTATAAGGTTTATAAGTGTGTGTGTGTGTGTGTGTGTGTGTGTGTGTGTGTGTGTGTGTGTGTGTGTGTGTGTGTGTGTGTGTGTGTGTGTGTGTGTGTGTGTGTGTGTGTGTGTGTGTGTGTGTGTGTCTGTAGGAGGTAATAGTAATTGAGAGGCTACTGTTTGCTGCCAGATTGTTAGGTAGCAGAGATCTGAGACCCCCTCTGGGCCACTCAAGGACTTAAAGGGAAAGTGTGTGTTTCTAGGGGAGTGGGGTGTGTGTGTGTGTGTGTGTGTGTGTGCGGTGGGATGTGTGACTGGAACAAACTAAAGGGCCAGCCAGGTGTCGTCCATGTGCAGCATGCACTTTCCCTTGCCATGACGCACACATTGTTTGCATACAGAGTGCACAGTTTTCAGGTGATTTGGTTTCAGGCCTGTTGGACACGACGAGCGTGTGATGCATTGGTTTAAGTTGGTGGACGTGCAGACCCTTATCTCTGTGTGTGTGTGTGTGTGTGTGTGTGTGTGTGTGGTGTGTGAAACCGTATCCTTCTCTCAGTTCCTCTAGGACATCAGATTCCATGGCTAGTGAGAATAATGCTGAAAGACTTCCAGCGATCTGGATCTGATACTTAACTTTGACAGAGATGTTATCCACAAAGCTTGGCATCAGCTTCAAATAACCTGAGTCTGTTGTTGGGTAGAGTTCGGGATATAGAATGAATCCATTGGTTAATATTAGGTAAAGCATTATATTCAAACCAGAAAAGGTGACATTTTTTAGAGAATGTATGTATAGTATGGTCACTTAGACTGAAAATTGTCTTAAAATGTGAATTGTTTGAATGGGAAATGTCTCATGCAGTTCCATTTTAAGTTGAAGGACTTGTAGCAGAGGAAGTGTTACTTGTATTTGCCTCTTGTGTAAAAAGCCAAGAGTGGTTAAAAGCAGTTGAAATGTCATTTGACTAGTAGGCACTGAAAGCAGTTAAAGTGCAAGTGATATCGCATTGTATTGTATTGTCTTGTAATGTTTTCACAGGTCTGACACCAAGGTCACTAAGCCAATAAGTCTACTCGGTCAGTCCATTCATGACCGAGGAGCTCTTCCTGTAATCTTGAAAGACTTGAGAGTTTACATTTGTGAGCATTTAAACACCCCTAACCTAAAATTAGAAACCCAGAGAGCCAGTACTTTCTTTCCAACGTCATCAAGAAGGTCATTCTGGTGCTTTTCCATTGGCAGTGAGCAGGCGGGTGACTTTGGAGGCACGCACGCATTGCAGAGAGTAATTTTCTGGTGTTTAACTGTTTGGCTTTGACCAACAAAAATTGGTCTCAACCTTTTCAGGGTGGGTGAACATTTGAGTGCTTCCATTCAGATGTCAATATCCACAGTTACATAACCATCTATTAAGCTGACATGAATACTTTGATAAGTGATTGTTTAAAATAATAACAATGTATCAAATGTGAAAACAACGTATAAGTGCTCTTAGTGATGAACCTAATGAGAATTATATCCTGAATCTGCAGCTGCCCCTTAGCTTTTCGGAGACAGATATTTCTCCTAGGAGTAGAGACCACAAACAGAGTTAGAAGAGACTGAATACTGGAGTTACATTTACAGTTCGTCATATCCACTTAAAAGCCTAATGTTGTGTTTTCCGCTGACAAAATATCAGTTATTGCAGGTTTAAAAAAGACGTGCTTTGACCATCAGAGTCCAGTGGTTTTGGGAGAGAGGGAGGACAAACAGCATACAGCTGTGGCTTGTACAGAACGAAGGTCTTTGAACAGCCATTGGGATACATAATGAAAGTGGAGGTATTTCAGCTCTGAAACCCTCCTTAGATGCCCTTGACCTCAAGTAAGATAAGATCACCAAGGGAACCAGGAATTAGGAAATTTATCCTACCCCAGGCCACTGGGTGATGGAACGGGGAAGTGATGTTCTTCTGATAGTGGAAAAACTTCCTTGTGTGTTTTTCACTGTGAGGATGGAACAGAATGTACGGGGGGGGCAGGGGGCAGGCAAAGGATGCAGTCTGCTGTGTAAATCTGCTGCTGTATTTCAGTGTTGTTTCTTGTACATCTTGTGCCTCACCAAGTTGCTGCTTGCTTGTGATGTGACTGTTTTGTCTGAATGCCTACAGCCACAGTGTTTGAGCTTCTCCCATGACTGCTCAGCTGAACCCCTCCAAGCACACTCTGGGTCATAATCCTATCAGGCATTCGGAGGAGTTGGAGGAGGAAAATATATCTTTCGTTGTGGAGAAAAAAAATGTGTGCAGCTTAATTGATGACTGTTTGAACTCTGCAGGCGTGTTGTTGTTGGCTTGAGGTGAAGTCCTGTACAAGGATGTGGGGTCGAAGCAGTGCGTGTCCCTGCGCATCTCTTACAGAATGCAGGACATGACACCGTGGCTATATGAGTCAGCACATTGACCTCTGCAGTTTATTTTCAGTGTGACTGCAGACATTCTTTACATTTGGAATGTGACCTCTCCTTTATATGATTTCAATGTTTTCCACCACACAGTGCATGTCCTCAATGAACATCATCATTATTCCAAACCCAGTGTGTGACTCCATCTGATGCAAAAGTAAAAACTGATGGAGAACAGCAGCGTTATAAGCAGGAAAATGTGCTGGAAGCAGGTCTTACTCATCAACCTTGGCTTTACTTCCAGTCTCTGTGTCACTGTCTAAATATCTTATTTGTTCTTCATTTCTTTCAGAACTGGCTAAGAATGGCAGCACACACCACTTCATAGAAGTCCAGTACTGACAGTTTGGAAAAGCGTAAACAGGAAAAGGAAGCAGGAGAGGAAGAAGAGACGGAGTGGACGCTGTTTACCATCCGAGCAGATGGGTGAGACGGAGGATGAACGCACGGCGCAGGCCAGTGTGCTCTTTGAGAACTTTGTCCAGGCGTCTACCTGTAAAGGGACTCTGCAGGCCTTCAGCATCCTCTGCAGGCAGCTGGAGCTGGATCCTCTGGACTACAGCAACTTCTACAGCACACTGAAGGCTGCAGTCAGCACCTGGAAGGTCAAGGCCCTGTGGACCAAACTGGACAAAAGGGCACAGCACAAGGTCTACAACCAGAATAAAGCCTGCCAGGGCACCAGGGTAAGAGAGCGCAACTGGAAAGGACCTCTACTGGACTTTGAGTCTACTAATAGATGATATGAAACTAATTTGGTTCAGTATTTACGAGAATGGGAGGATATTCACGTCTGTCACTAACAACCACAACCATTTAATCTATGCACAGCATGAATGGTGCAAGGTAAAAGGTGTGATTTGTTCTGATAGTGCTGGAGGTTCATTCCTGGAATTTAAATCCATGTTGTGTGGAAAGATGTTTCAGCATATCAATAACATTTGAAATGATCATTTTACAGACATTACAACTAACACTGTTGTCTTCGTAGATGCATGAGCTTGTGGAGCTGTTTATACTTTGACAGAAGAGGGTTATGGTGCATCACAGCCAATAAGCTATGATAGCTTCCTCCATTTTATACTTTCTAGTTCGCCATTCCCCCGTAGATCAGCAGTTGACTTGAAAATAATAATTTCAGTGCATTTACTTTACCCACCATGAGTGAATCCACTGATTACAGCGATTCAACTGGAGGGAAATGATTACGCCGCTTTAAATTCTGGTGTGACCAGGTCCTAGTTGACTGTCTGCAGCTCATCTTCTGACAGCTCACTGTGACTTTTGTACTACAAAACTCCCTGCAACATTTAAAAATAACCAAATAGGGACAAATATATCACATATCTTGGCATATATATACCAATATTTATTGAAGAATAGCAGCGCTGGTTCTGTTACGTGTAACTGCGTTTCCTTTAGCTGCCTCCCACTGGTAAAAGAAGCTTTAATGTGAAGCAGCAGGATTAGTAGCAACTTAACACAGCTCTGATCGGCTGTACGAAAACTATCAGTAAACAATCTGTAGTGCTTGAACTGCAGTGACCGGTCAGACAGTCTGTGTGTGATATCTTGGTGTTTGTTGTGGTCAAGCTTGTTGATGTGCCAGTCATTAAGGCTGCCTTTTGACATCATCCTTTCTTTTTCCTTTCTCCCTCTTTTCTGTGTTCTGTTGAGTAGAACATATGTTCAAGGAATTATAAGGAATTATGGTTTATTTGTTCAAATACCCAATTAGGACCTTTGCCAGTGTGGCTTTGTTAGGAAAATAGATTATGTAAATGGATTATTTCTGTAATTATATGCAAATATTTAATTAGACCAAAGTAATCCTAACTTTAAGAGGCTGAATTAACTGGATTTAGAGCATACAACTTGAGTCAATTCAGTTTAAAATTCTGGATCAAGTAATATAAGCCATTTATGTGGGTCACTTTTATGAAAGTGAGCAGCGTATGTTAGTCAGATTGTAAAATATGGCTTTCACTGAGGCCTAAAGACAATATGAGAGTTCAAGTACATATTTCATGTGATAGCTATCTCACATTTGTTGTTTTATGTCATGCGCTGATCTGTCTTACTGTCTGACCCTGTATGTCAAAGTATATTGAGCAGCACATTCAGCACAGTGTTGGAATGACTTCATATCTGAAGGAAAAGATAAGACGTCTAGAGGGGAAAGAGGCCAGAGACTCGCAGAAGGGAGATTAACAGAGTTGGGTTGGGCTGAGGATAAGCCAAAAATAACAGCTAAATTATTATCCCAGACATTTTTTCAGGAGAAACTGCTATTTGGAGAAAGGTGGTGGTCCTTTAGCTGGACGGGGTCCTCTGTTTTCTGGAACTCTGTATCTAGAATCTAAATTTCTTAGTTTTCTGTATATTTTGTTCTTTTACATGGAAGATGCCACAAATCATACTCCCAAAAGTGATTAAGCTAACTTTTCCCAGAAGGCTGTGCTAATTGTTTTGCCAGTTACTTTTCCCTATAACTGTAAAATGGCACAGCGCACACTGACCTGGAAATGAGACGTTGACTGTAATCACGGAGGACCTCTGAGACTTTCCAGATGAGGCTTTTTCTTCTCCTGTTCCCATTTCCACATAATGAGGCTGCTTTTCTCTCTTCTCATCGCTTCTTCTCAGTCCAAAAGTCGATAAAACATCAGTTACTTTACATTTACATAAAAAAAGTAATCTATCACCTGGTGTACCTCCTTTTGAGAAACACTGCTATGCAGGATGACAACCGCTCCACCCAGCTAAATCATTGCTAAGGTACTGTGATTGGAAACACTGCTATAAAATATACATCTCTGCTGGCCTTTGTTGTGTACTGCTTTTTCAGTTAGTATGCAAAATGTCATGTTCTTTACTGTTGTGGAAATTAACAGGAAATATTAAAAGACAAATGTCAAATCAAACTGCATCCTTGGAAAACTTCTGCCAACTGTGCTTTCTGTGTCCACAATCTGCTTTAAAAATGATCTTTTAGATCATTAAAGGGAAATGCAATAGGGCGTATTCCATTTGACTGTTCCTTAATTTTGACCATATGAGCAGCTCAGATTAGTTGTGGCTGAAACTGGAGTCTAATTTGTTCCAACTGATGCAAGGAAAAAAAGAAACACACTGTTCACGGTTCTGTATGACTGAGGGAACACTTACTGTGAGATATCAGAACAAACAAACCGTATACAGTAGATGTTCCTTTGCACCTCCTCTACTCAGAAGTTGCAGTACTAGAGTGCTGGTACTAAAAACTTTGAACATCCCTACCACTTTGTCATTAACCCCTCAACTATTTTTCCTCCTGCTGCCTTCAATTCAGTGTCTGATCATTGGCGGGGGTCCTTGTGGTCTGCGGACAGCCATCGAGTTGACCCTGTTGGGCTGCAAGGTGGTGGTGATCGAGAAGAGGGACACGTTCTCCAGGAACAACGTGCTCCACCTCTGGCCCTTCACCATCCACGACCTCAGGGGCCTCGGGGCCAAGAAGTTTTTCGGCAAGTTCTGTGCCGGCGCCATCGACCACATCAGTGAGTATAAATTTGTGTCCTTTACTTAACAGCTCCTCTGGTTTTGGAGCTTATTAATCTGTTATTGTATTAAGTCTGCCATGAAGTGAGAGAGCAAAGTGGGAGCTAAACTTCCTCTTTCTAGCAAATTGTTTTTGTTTTTCCTCGTACTGCTCTGGGAAGAGAAACTGTTCACTGGTTTTATAGTTTCAGAGAAACATCTTCCTCAACCTTGGGGTTCAGGATCCTTTTTATAGTCACTATACATGACGGCAGGATCATGGGTCATTTGTAGCTCTTTATTTATTGTAATAGGGAATAAAGAGTGTATGTAATTTCTATATAACCCAAACAACTTGAAAACAAAACCTTAATCACATGAATAACATATTTATTCAGATATTATTTGCAGTTTGGTAACCTGCTTTGTTTCTTAAAATTAAGATTTTTTGTCTAAAAAACAAAAGATTGAGACACCCTGTTGTAAAATGTTGCACCTCTCTCGCTGTCCTGCTTTACTTCCCGTTTTAAAAGCGATAACATGCAAAAACACCTCGGAGTCATACATGCAAACAAGACCTATCCGTGTGTGTGTCAAATCACTGCAATGCAGATAAATGTCACACTGCGTGGCCACAAAACCAAAGCCGTTTTCACAAAAGTGTCTTTTATAGTCTGCCGTCTATATTTAACAGTGTGGCATGACGGGGGTGGTATTTGCTGGCCATGTGACTCCGTAACCTGTTAGAGGAGATTTTCCAGCAGCCAAGTGTGCTGCAGTTTGTACCTTCAGTCTCCATCTCCCTTGTGGGATGTTTCCATTGGCGCTTCTTCCTCTCCAGCTTTAGTAACGGTGTCACGTATTAATATCTCCTCTCAGGGACGGGCTCTTCACAGTGTAAGTGCAGCCACGTCTTCCTCCCATAAGGGGCTCTGAGAAAGCCCCTGTAAATATCAGCTGCTCCTACAGTGTATTTAAACTATATTAACTCTGTGGAATCCAACGTGTGTGTAATGGTACGTCATTGAACTGCCAGGATATAGTTGATCTAGACATATTATAGTCTGTTCAGTAGGGATGCACTGATCCGATATGGGACTGGTAACGATATTGATCTTAAGTAGATTTAGGTATCGGCCATGACGTGACTGATCTTCATTAAATACTGCTTCTTTGTTTTCCACTATCAGCTACATGTTACCTTACAGAAAAATGATGATGAGTTCTACAAAGTGAGGTAAACAGATTTTATTTAGAGAAAAAAGAGCACTTATATTGGTTCATTCCTACTCCTCAGGAACAGAATACATACGGTTTAAATTTTACAGGTACTGACACATGTTGGAGTATGTTCTTAATGAAAATATAATTGTGGAAGAACTCGATTAATCTAGGAATCGCAACATCCAATTATACATTTTTAATAAGGTCTTTGTCAAACTTAAGTATAATTTAAATGTTCTCCTCATTGCTGGCAATCTCTGTCCTTTCTGACTTCCATAAAATACAGTTTAAGCAAGCAGTGTGGCTACTCGCTAGACTAAATAAATCAGTCACATCATCATTTAAGTCAAGTGTTTGGGTGCGTGATGGATTCACCCAGAGTTGAAGGAGCATAACATGACTCAGTCAATATGAAAGGCTTTCTCAGTGCACAATGGACTGGAGTAAATCCTAAAATAGCAACCCTATGTAGCAAAAAAGACAATCCATTTTGAATCAATTTGTGAGATACCGAAAGATTCACACCCCTAATGGACAGCAGCAACCTGTGGCATATGCTGCTGCTGCCCACTCAAAATACACCGACTTTACCAGGTGGCAGGTCTTAAAGGCAATGAATGCTAAGCAAATTACTTGAAGTTAGTCCTAGCTTAAACTCCATATTTGCTTTCATCCCTATACATGCTGTGGCCTTTCTTTGTGTACTTTTTGGATGTTCAACATCTGCACGTGCATGTTTGTGTGTATCTGCTCCAGGTATCCGCCAGCTCCAGCTGATGCTGCTGAAAGTGAGTCTGATTCTGGGAGTGGAGATCCATGTCAACGTGGAGTTTGTCAAACTCGTGGAGCCACCGGCGGAGCAGAGTGACGACGGTGTGTGCGCACTCTTATCTGCATATTAAGGGGTCATGAGTGGCAGTGACACACAGAGGCTCTCCTGCATTTCTCAGCTATATATGGAAAGCTGCCTGCTCACAAAAAACATATGTCAAAGTGATCAGAAAGTTTCCTAGAGAGGAGGCGTTTGCAGGAGCAGCATTTATAGCACACTGCGTGGAAAATAACACAAGTCTATTGATAGAGGCTGCTGATGGTTACAGTTTAGTTCTACTTTGAGTTTGCTTTTCTAAGGGCCCCAAAATATGCAGAGTGTCCTAAATGTGCCTTATGGGGACTTTTTCACTGTAACACTCAAGGGAACACGACACAACCATTTGTCAACTTAGAGGACTGAGCAACAGACTGCCGCTGCTGCGTGGCTGTTTTTTCACAGAAGCCATTTTTAAATAAAATAGTAGGGTAAACACAGATGTTACTGATGTTTATTAAGGTTCAAACAGAGTCAGTATGCTGCTATTGTGTATGTCCTCTGTACGCTAAATGGAACGGAACTAGTGCTGTCAAATGATGAAAATATTTAATCGCGATTAATCGCATTAATGTCATAGTTAACTCGCAATTAATCGCACATTTTTATCTATTCTAAATGTCCATTGACTTCTTTTTGTCCCAATATTTTTTCTCATTGTAATGCTCTTATCAACATGGAAAAGTGGATCGGCTTGCTTTGTGCAAATGTTGTTTTTATTGAACAATCATCCATTGTTGCCTGGCTTTGACGAGGGGGCAGAGAATTGGCATCAGCTGTGTGTTTGGCCATCAAGTGGCCATCAGTTCACAACGACAAAACACACAGATCACTTTGGTCTTGTCAATGGAACCATTTGGCAACTTTTTAAAAGTAAACTTTCCATTGGGAATATTATTGGCATCCATTTCGGCGTCTCGTGCTCGCCATCCACTCAAAACGTAACGTCTACTACTTCTTAAACAAGTGTGTGCGGCGTGCCTGTTGTTTTGTTTCCGGTCTAGCTAGATCCGGTGTGGTGTTGTAGTTTTTCTAACGTTACTAGTTGTTGCAACAGCATGTGAAAAAAACTACAAAGTGTGCTAGGCCAAAAAGAACGTTAATCTCACAATATAAAAATTGACGCCGTTAAAATGGGTATGCGTTAATGCTCTTAATAACGCGTTTAACTGACAGCACTTAACGGAACCTTAATTAGTATCATTGGTAACCCCTGTCTTTACCCTAGTATTTCATGTCAAAATAGCTGCTGTGAAAAAGGTCTATTAGCTACATAAACCTCAACAAAGCAAGTAATCAAAATCAGCACCTCAACATGATATGTGACTCAGCAGCCTGCTATAAAGTCCTTACCAAGTATTATTACTGTCTTTTACTGCACGGCACCCCCAACTCCCTGTCATCTTCCTTCCCTTGAGATATTCACTCACACTGTCCTTATATTACATGTATGTTAAGGTATAGAAATAATCAAACTGAAGTGGGTCCAGCTGATTTGTTGTGTTCCTCCTCAGGTCCTGGGTGGCGAGCCGAGGTGCGGCCCTCCAGCCACCCCGTCTCAGATTTTGATTTCGACGTGGTGATTGGAGCCGACGGACGAAAGAACACATTAGACGGTGAGAAAGACGGAACAGAGCTCACCAATGGGAGTGGTCGCTGGGAATGGGCTGGATGATGGCAGTTGGTATGGTTCAATATGAGTCCCAAGAAAAGGCCTGTTCCTGACCCACATTCACAGGATAAATATACGCTGCTGTTGAAGCACTGTTTGTTGTTTTTGCTGGAAAGGAGGTGAGGTGTTGCAAAGCTGCTTTCAGTCACTGGGTGAACCATTTCCTGTTGACATAGTTTTAACTAGAAGCTTAATACTGTGTATGGGGTCAGCACTGTGTGTGTGTGTGTGTGTGTGTGTGTGTGTGTGTGTGTGTGTGTGTGTGTGTGTGTGTGTGTGTGTGTGTGTGTGTGTGTGTGTGTGTGTGTGTGTGTGTGTGTGTGTGTGTGTGTGTGTGTGTGTGTGTGTGTGTGTGTGTGTTGGTTTATGAATGTTTGAGAACTTTGTTAGGTTTCTGTCCACCTGTAAATAATGTTATGTGTGTTTTGTGTTCATCTGTGTGTGTGTGTGTGTGTGTGTTTGTTATATGCGTTGTGCATATGTTTGCTAACATGTAAAGTAACTGATTACACAAATGGTTAACATTCTCCTCTGTAAATGGAAGAATGAGTGTTTCCATGTGTAGACCTGCTGTAGCTAGGAGGATAACTACTCCCAGATATTGTTCTTTATGTTTCCCTTTGTATGGTTCATTGTTAAGGTTTTTGTTCCCCTCTCGGCAGGTTTCAGTCGCAAAGAGTTTCGAGGGAAGTTGGCCATCGCCATCACGGCTAACTTCGTCAACAGGAACACCACAGCGGAGGCCAAAGTGGAGGAGATCAGTGGCGTGGCCTTCATCTTTAACCAGAAGTTCTTTCTGGAACTCAAGGAGGAAACAGGTGAGTTAGAAAGAAATGTGGCACCAGCAACCCATAAAATAAAACCTCAATCTAAAAAACACTTGCTTGTGTTTCCAGGAATTGACTTGGAGAACATAGTTTACTACAAAGACAACACACACTACTTTGTCATGACAGCGAAGAAGCAGAGTCTGCTGGACAAAGGGGTCATCATAAATGTGAGTTTGCATTTTCAATTCTTATGTCAGCCAACACTGTCTTTGTTGTGTATAGTTAGCATGGTTACAGGTGTTTTAACATTTATCTGACTCACAATGGGCAGTTCAAAAACAAAAGGTGCCAGCGATGCCTCACATTTTTCTTCCTTGTCAAAACCTGGTCCGTCCATTACCCACAATGCAACTTCTTCTTCTGCAGTCTTCAGCCCCAGCCATTACTCGGGTGTCATCACTTGAGGCAATTTACCAGAATTCACACAGTGTCTTTTGGAGCCACTATTAAAATCCCCTTTAATAGAATTGAAATAAGCCTATAAACACGAAATATGGCAAGTTGAACCCAATGTTAACGTTAACCATTGATAATGTTACATTAGCTTAAATGTTTGCGTGATGGCCTGCCTATTTTCATGCTGTGTGCCAGCTACTTTGTTTCTGCTTTTGGCCAATTTTCATCAGAACTGCGAATGTGTTTAATCCATAAATCTGTTCCTTTTTTCATTTTTAAGGACCAATAAAGCTGGCAGAGACATAACATTAATAAAATACAACATGTAGCCAGTGTTGCCAACTATTTTCAATGGAGAATATCTAAAGCCTGCTCGAAAAGTCTCAGGATGACGCCAGATGATGTCACATACTAATTTGAGTATCCACAACGTCATTATGTAACCATTTACAAATATACAAGTTAAGACAGTTAATAAACCATGAAGCCTAGCTCTAAACAGACTCTAACCAGCTTCATCAGTAGTTACTGTTATTTTTCAAGCTGACATCATCCCAACAATATTTATCTAAAGCTACCTCTAATTTCAAAACCTTTTTATGTAGGCTGTCTGGCTGCTGATTGGTCGACTGGACGTGTCATGGTTATCAACTAATATTTTTCCTTATAGTTTTCCATGTTCATAATTAACAATGAAACACACACTGATAGGCCAGAAACACATACATACACACATGGGTTGCAGTATTTAAAATCAACAAGTCAAAGTCTATTTGTGTGTGTGTGTGTGTGTGTGTGTGTGTGTGTGTGTGTGTGTGTGTGTGTGTGTGTGTGTGTGTGTGTGTGTGTGTGTGTGTGTGTGTGTCTGTGTGTCTGTGTGTCTGTGTGTGTGTGTGTCTGTGTGTTCACCAGGGCAGCTAGCTAGCTTTGGCTAGTAGTGAATGATGGGCCTCCACAGGGGATGATAATGAAATAGGACTCTAATTAGATGCTGCTTGCGCTCTCTCACCTTTCTTCTATGTCCCCCACACACACTCACAAACAAACACACACCCAAACACACAGACATTATGAGTCAGAGGATTTTTTCCTAGTCGGTCTCCATCTGCGGAGATTAGAGAGTATAGATGACGATATTATTATGGCATCGAGACTGCTGTTAACCTTCCCACCCAGTGCCTACCACAGCATTTGTCTGAAAATATGCACACATATGCAGGAAAGCCCTCTATATGCAGTATACTTGAGATGCAGAGGCAAACACACACACACACACACACACACACACACACACACAGGTGTTGAAACCCTGCCTCGCTGTACCCTCAGTGGTCTCCGTCTCTTCTTACATTGCCCATTAGTGCAGAGTGATATCTCACTGCGTCCACTGCGTGACAGCCTCATCAGTCATAATAGCTCACTAATTAGACAAACTCACTAACTTAGTTTTGTCATCATGATCCTCTTGCAGTGAAACACACCAGCCTGAATATGTTTTTCAGGTCATCTCTTGAGCAATGTGTATCTTGTTTCTGAATCAGTCTTCATCTTTGTTCACCCCACCATGCTGGCTCTCAGGAAATGTTATTTGATAAGTTATTTCCTGAGTGACTCAAGGGGAGTTGGCATCCTTCATGAGGGGGGCAACATGTTTAGACTGATCGACCGCAACTGTCGAGCCACAATCTATCTAAGATCGTTCTCATCAAAAGGTGATAATTCTCTGTGGTGACAGCGAACGTCACACTGATCCATTGTTTATTTGAGCATATTGATTAGTGCTACTTTAGATTTAAATTTAGTTTATGCAGTTATCTCTGCCATAAACATTCCTCCCCTTGTCTCTATACAGGACTACATAGAAACAGAGCGACTGCTGAGCATTGACAACGTCAACCAGGAAGCGCTGCTCTCCTACGCCCGTGAGGCAGCCGACTTTGGCACAAACTACCAGCTGCCATCCCTGGACTACGCCATCAACCACTACGGGCAGCCGGATGTAGCCATGTTTGACTTCACCAGCATGTACGCTTCAGAGAACGCCGCCTTGATCAGGGAGAAGCACGGACATCAGCTAGTGGTCGCACTGGTGGGAGACAGTCTGCTTGAGGTACGAGGTAGCAGTGACAGCGGGCGTTGTTTGTACTCTGACCTCCACCCTGACCGAGGCTCAGCTTATGCGTGTTCACACTGACATCATGTTCTCTGTTTACAGCCCTTCTGGCCGATGGGTACAGGCTGTGCTCGAGGTTGGATGGCAGCCTTTGACACTGCTTGGATGGTGAGGGGCTGGGCACAGGGCAGGAGCCCTCTGGAGATACTGGCTGAGAGGTGTGTGGGTGTATGTTCCACTTCCTGTAACTTAAGATGAGCCAGATAGACTTGTCTGCGCTAAGTTATTTTCCCTGGATCACGTACAGATGAAACAAGCATCAGTCCAGATAGTCAAGGACAGTTTGTCATTTTGTCTGTGCAACACTTTGGTCCAAATCCAGATAACTGGATATGTATGTATATACATGTTCCCCAAGGGATGAAAGGTTTACGGTGACCCTCTGGCCCATTTTCAGGTCAAAATTACAACTTGTGCACAATAAATATAATGATCAACTATCAAATGAGCTGACTGCCATTAAATTTGCAGAGCAGATTCATGCTCCACAGAAGATGGGCCTCTTCTATTTTGTAAACCTGAGCTTTGTCCTAGCACCATTTTTACACATGCAAAATTCAGCTTTGCATGCAGACAATCTAATGTGAGAAACAACAACGCCAACAGTCCTATCTAGTGTCAGTGCTTGGCTTGTCAGTCCTGTGCTGCTGTATAAACATGGCAGTATAAGATGGCTTCCTCCATAGAAGAGGACCTGCTCAAAACGGCTCATTCTAAGGTAACAAAAACACAACGGTTCTTATATTGAGGTGCTTATACACTGATGAAAACATACCCTATAAATATTATATTCCATTTCTGCCAATCGATCCTTCAAAATGTTACGCGCTAAACTTCTGATAGACTAAAGAAGCAACAGTCATGAGTTCAAATAAACACGTCTGGACAAGTCTGGTTTGAATGCACATTAAATGTTGTGCTGTATTTAATGTTAAAGGTCTTTATTTTATGTATAGTTTTGAAACATTGTTTTGTGCTTTCAGCTTGCTTAGTGTTTTCTGTCTTTAGACAGATCTTTGAAGCTTCAGTATCTTTGTATCTGCAAGTTATATCTGCCCTGCTGTTCCTCAGGGAGAGTCTCTACCGGCTGCTGCCTCAGACCACCACAGAGAACATCAGTAAGAACTTTGAACAGTACGCCATTGACCCTGCCACCCGCTACCCCAACCTCAACTCCAGCTGTGTACGCCCACACCAGGTCAGTCCAACACTTGTAGTATAAGAATAAACTTTATTCATGTACCAGTGTCCTTAAAAAAAAAAAAAAAAAAAAAAGTGCTTTCTTAGGGAAATACATTTTAATCATGTGTCTTCTGCTCAGCGACAGGGATATTTTTTTTGTTTGTTTTATTGACAATTTTACCATCAGTGTGCATGTTGAAATGTTGAATGTTTTTAAAGTAAATATCTCAAATAAACTCAACCATAAGTGTGCTGTCTTTCTTTCTGTCTTTCTGTCTTTCCTTCAGGTGCGCCACCTGTTCATTGATGGCCAGCAGGGCTCGTGTCTCCTGGGAAAAGGAGAACCCACACGTAGATCAGTGAACTTGTCCAGAAGAGGTGAGATGCAGATTGTCTCTTTCTCCTAACTCCCAAACACAAACTGATGGTTTCAGCTTAGTACTAACCTTGACTATGTTATACGGTTTGTTGATCTGATTGGTTTAAGTTCACCCGTGATAGACGATGACAGGCAGATGATTCATGCAATCACCTGAGTATTTTGTGCCTGCAGTTTCCAATAAGGACTTCCTGGATGGTTCTGTGTAACAAACCATCTGGCACAGTCAGGTTAGCATGGTACTGGAGCTTGCTGGAACGTTGCTCATTGAGTTGAGTGGACTGAGCTGACATATCAGAGACATGTCTGAGTCTGTAAGAATTAGAAAATGAGCCATCAGGCAGTGAGTCAGTGACTAGTTGCATGCTGACCAGTCACACTGTATTCATTCACGTCAATGTTAAGACATTTTTTGACAGAGTAAAAAAAGAATAAATCTTATTCATGTATAAACTGATTACAGGGATAGTGTGATGTATCTTTGTGTTTAAAACCACAGTGTTCATGCTGCTATAATAAAAAAGCGACTACAAAAGCATCAAATATCTCTGGACAAAGTAGTGACAGTGAGGATTGCTGCCAACTGCTCAGATGGGACTGCAGTCTACTTTCAAAGCTCCCTGTCATGTTCTAATGGTAATCTGATCATCCTGTGAGTCACCACTGAGATTAGATGCATCTACAACCCCATTAACACTGCATGGAAGCTTTCCTGGATACCTTTGTTGTAAGATACATTAAGAAGCTGAGCTACTGTTTATAAAATTGTCTGACACAGCAATGTAGCATTTCACAAATAAGAGTTCTGAATATAGTTTACTGGAGGAAAAAAAAAAGGTTGACATCATAGTAAAAGCTTCCCCAGCCCATAGTGAGGAGAAACTTAAGCCTTATCTCAGTCACAGGCTGACACACCTCGTCACAGACAATACAGCTGGATACCATTACACCCACATGAGGGTCAGACATGATGCCTCTCACCGACGTGTGCTGACCTGCTCTACTCTGCACTGGCAGGGTTATGGGGCCGATACAGTTATCTTCCCTCTGATGGTCACTGTCACTGTTTAGTCACAAGTTGAAGCTGTATTAACAGATTTGTTTGGCCTTTTGGGGACAGCTGAACAAGCTGTAAACACAACCGTGACATAATGAGTTTGTCACTGAGTGACCTCTTTTCACATTACACTGGGTAATTAAACCCGTTGTTGATATATGTGTTGGTGCAGCTTTAAGGACTGACACTCGAGTTCTAAATAAAATCCCTTGTTTGGGTTTCGAGGCCTAAAATGTACATTTCTTTTTCATTTGCAGTTTATTTTGTTCACTTATGTGGTCAAATTGATATACAGTCCACTGCTACATCCTACCATCATGTATTTTATGATGTTAGGTTTTTTGTTAGAAATTTTTTTAAGGTGTTGATTCAACTTTAGATTAATTTGTGTCGTGCTGTTGACTTGTTCTGCAATATACTGAGAGATGTCTCTAATATTTTGTCCATCCATTTATATCCATGAGGGTCGATTGAATATGAGAAACAGCCCTCAAAATAACACTGCAAACCAGAGCCTCCACACTCACATAAAATCAACATTTTATCTTCTGTGTAACAACATGTCTTTAAATAGACAGTTATGAATGCAGGCTTTCATTTCACTCTGCAGTTCAACATTGAAATATAGAAGAAATCCTGCCATGAAGTTCCAGTTATGCAATTTAAAGCACATCAAAGCGAGTGCTCCAGATCTTTTAAGTGGGCCAGTTTGTCCACAGGCCTGAATCTCTGCTCTGGCTATGTATTTGCTGTCAGAGTTATTAAGTTGCTTTAGGCTTGGGAGGAGATTCTAGTCTTTCAAGTCACAAGGCTCAAGTGAATCAGAATCGGGTTTATTGCCAAGTAGGTTTTCACATACAAGTAATTTGCCATGGTATTTTGGTCCATGACAATAAACATTGTAAAAGAAAATAAAGAACACAAAAAGCAAGTACTCTAAAGTCAAGAAACATAAATATTGAAAGGAAAAAAATCCAATAGAAAATATAAGACAATATGACTTTTGAAACCTAAAACTCACTGGTTTTCAAATAGAAAGGTTTATTGTGTCATATAATCGATGCTATACTGTATGTCATATGACTCCCTGTACACCAGCTCGACAGGACCTCAGTGATACTGTTACTGATGCTTTATTTCTCTCCTATAGAGTCTGATGTGCGTCCCGGCCGGCTGCTGACCTGGTGTCAGAAGCAGACTCAGGGCTACAGAGGGGTCGATGTCACCGACCTCACATCTTCCTGGAGGAATGGCCTGGCCCTCTGCGCTCTCATACACCGCCAGAGGCCTGAGCTCATGTGAGAACACACACAAACGCATACACAATCTATTCAGGAAACATGTGGGGATAGTAATGGTTATTCAGGTTTTGGCGGTTTTCTGTTGGCTTGTAAAGAATCACCTGTTCAGACAAAGCAGGGTGATATTAAACTTTTAAAAAGTAGTGTGCAAACAGTCAGCTCATGGCTCATGAATATGAATTCATTCATTAATTAACGCTTCATTTATTCAAGAAATCTAAAGAACAAGGTCTTTTGCAAGAGAGACCTGAGAACAAATTACCCACAAGATCAACAGTTGGTATGAGAAACTTTTAAAGGCAATCTATCCTGTGATCTGATGTAACCGTTATCAGCTCTGAACTAATGATGTTTAAATATCTCAGCAGCATTGATAGCAAAGCCTTATAAATGAAGAAGCAGGTATTCTGAAGGTATTCTTTACTGCATCAGTTAGATGTCCATTTAGAGCAAGATTTGGAATGTCAATGGTTCACGCACACAACTAGTAAATAGCAGTGGGCATAGTTTTGATCCTTGAGGGACAGCTTTATCAACCATTTGGGGATTTGATTTGAAACCATCAGGAACAACAGATGTGAGCATCCACACCAATGAACGATAAAGTTGTGTAAACGATGCCCAAGTCACGTGCTGCCGCTCTAGCTGCATTAGCATTTATGAGAGAGCGAGAGTTATGAGAGAACATTTTATTCAGAGACACCATCATTGCCCTTTAAAGACCGTCTGGCAGTATGTCTCAGGTAATATTAGGTTTTTTTTATGTGTAATTTGCAGCCTTATATGACGTTGTATAAGTGTTTATTAAGACGTATACCACAGTATAGCCAAGACTGAGTGATTAGAGTAGACCATCTAAAAAGTGTCTCCTAATCATGTATCAATGTCATGTGCTATGTTGAATGTGACACCCTGTAAATTCAGATGGATTTTGATTGGCTGTCAGTGTTTTTAATGTTCATCCAATCGCTCTGAAAGTGAACCCAATCATATTGTTTGCCACTGGCGTTGCCGTGTTGTGGACTTTTGTTATAGTTATCGTTGTAGAGGTGGGCAGCCGTTAAGTCACATGTTATTTAACCAATGACAGCAAATAGTTAATTGATTTTATTTTTTTTTAAATTTGATGCTCAACTTTTTAATATGAATGCGATCTTGCTGACACTATCCAATTAACTGTGGCGAGCTTAAACACTGATTAATCAAATTCGCTGACCTACTTGAACCAATCTGCTCACACACAACTGAGAAAGCAATTAAAAGTGTCAGCGTGATCGGTTGGAGTGACATCATTTCTCTGAGGACTTTTATTGTTGACCCAAGCACACATCATCTTAATGCTTGTCATAGCAGGTAGCTGTGATTCCACACATACTGTACGAGCTGTGCTCATATAGAGGCAATGTTTGCCCCCCCCCCCCGCAGGTCCGATGTTGTCCCTCTCAGACAAAGCAGTCTTCTAGCGGTGTGGCTCTCGGTATGGACGATCAGTCACACTAGACACTTCAGTCCAGAGTGAACTACTGCTACTTTGGTACAGACATTCAGGGTACCCAGAGGAGGAATCCTAGTCTTTTTGTGATCCTAAAACTTTACATTTTTCCCCCAATAGTGGTAAGAATCTAATGATAGCACATTTTCTATCACTTATTCAGTTTCCCAGTGTGTTAGGACCATTACAGTCTTATATGTGTGCAAGCATGGCTGGAGACTTTTAGTCTTGTCATCATCACATCAGGAAGCGGATGTGTCGGTGCAGTGCATACAGACCGCTAGGTAGGAAGTAATCTTTCGAATCAGCATGTAATTCTTTCATCTTTAGCTCCTCTCCATCACATACTGAATGGAAAACAGAACTACATCCTGAATAAAGAAAGCAGCATCCCATTTCCACCGTCTCTTTTCCTCCTGTCACTTCATCTCACCATCTTTCTCTTCTGTCAGCGCTGGGAATATGGAGGATGTTTCAAGAAACGACATGAGCTCAGACGCTGACCTGCCGGACTAACCTGCCCTCACTTTTGTCCTTCCTCAGTGACTACGACTCTCTTAACGAGGAGGACGTGGCGGGGAACAACCAGTTGGCGTTTGATTTGGCCGAGCGAGAGTTTGGCATCCAGCCGGTTACGACAGGAAAGGAGATGGCTGCGGAGGCTGAACCGGACAAGCTTCTGATGGTTCTCTACCTCTCCAAATTCTACGAGGCCTTCAGGAACTCCCCAGGAAATAACAACGGTCAGACTCCTTCCTGCTTCTGTCACACAGAATTAAAACAGGGTCCATTAGCTTACCTTTAGCTGCTGTGAAGCTCTAGAGCAGTGGTTCCCAACTGTTTCACTTATGGGACCCCTTTTCCTATCATCTAGTAAACGTGTGACCCCTGACTAAGGGACATGAATTTTGAGCTGACTATTTCCTGTTTACAGAACTTTTTAGACAATTTTCTGTCTGTATTATGTATTTTTATATAATCATACAGACTTAATAAGCTTATTTGTTTGACAAATTCAGCGTTGTGTTTTCCCTGGTGTTTGGCCGTTGTTCTATTAGACAGTTTACTTTACTTCATAGTGAACCAAATGCTGAGATATAGCCCTATGGTGTATATTTTTTAAGTTTTCTTCCATGCCTTAAAATCAAAAAGGCCTTGCAACCCCCTGTAGAGCTTTGGCTCCAGGGATTAATGGAAAGTAATGTTTTCTGCTTAAAGTGGATGCTAACAGGGAGAATTAATCATTATGTGTGAATGAACATATGGTTTATTTTTCAGTAGTAGGAGGCATGAACAATATTTTCTGTTATAAGGTCAGTCTAGGTAATGCTAATCTCCTGCTGTCACTCATTATTGTGAATGCTAAGGACTTAAGCAAACAGTCCGCTAGACGTGTTGATCTATTTAGGAGTTTTTGTTCTTCTTGTTTTTAAATGTCAGATCAGTCTTCATTAAATCTTCGTCAAGTAAATGTACAAGTCTGGAAAATGTACCACTATGAACTATAGGAAATGATCTGTTTACAAATTAAATCCAGCATATGAAAAAGGGATCCAGCCGTACCAAACAAACCGATGGGAAGTGTCAGGGCAGCTCTGCAGAGCACGGTTGGACGCAGTTTCACCCTAACCACCAAAACATTTGTAATACTATACCCAGCCAAAAAAACTGTGAAAACAGGAGCTCATTTCCTTTCATCCATAAGAGAACGAAAGCAAAATAAAATAACACTTTAATACAGCACATTCTGTTAAGGCATAGGCCCAGTTGCACTTGAAATAACTATGGCTCAGGGACTATTTTATCCGCTGCATGAGCTAGAGTTGCACGTTACACAACCGTGGTCAGGTTAGTCCGTGCCAGAGACATGACTGGTATGTGTGCTATGTCTGCGGAAGCCATATCCAATCACTCGGTGTTACTCTGGAGGCCCTCGGCCCCGGTCACACCACCGCTGTAAGCTCCAGCTTCAGCCACGTTTCACTTCCAGTGCTTTAATGTTAATGTCCTGCAGACGTCTGTGTCACCCACACTGCTGTCACCACGGAGCAATCCACGTCTTAGAAAGGCTGGGAAAATAATTTACCTTCAGTGGACCATTTTCACAGTCCATTTGGTGGGAATTTACTTGCAGACATTTTAGGAGCTTAAGTGTCGTTATATATAGTCAGCAATGATGTCTACACTGTGGGCCGTTGTGCTTTAATGGCCCTGGGTAATGTAAGTTGTTATACAAAGTTGCATAAGGGGTATTTCTAATGATTATTTGATATTTACTGTCCTCCCCTCACATTCTGCTGATTGTATAACTCTTTATCTATGCGCACCGTTCTCATGCAGACTCCAGATCAGCTTAATGTCAGTGTTTTCTGGTGATGAATTGAATTCTTGTGTGAAAACAAATCAGTCCTTTTGAAGTTTAAAGCCCCCATGTCTCAGTTTTTAACGTCATTACTGCACCTTTCAAATTATTCTGAAGGCCTAGGCTTTGCTTCTAAAAAGATCCTTATGGAAGTTGGTGTTGGTGTCTCTGTTAATGCCACCACTAGGAGCTTTGATTCTTCTACTGAGCAGCATCAGCATGAAGGTAGAAAGCAAACCAAAATGATTAAAAATTTAGTAGATCAAGATTGGAAGTTATCTTTGTGCCCTGTACTACTCAAAAGTAATGTGTGGTAAATATCCCAAAAAGGAGAACATAATTAGCAATTAGCATCTAGCAATCATTTCAATAAAGTGGTGGATAGTTAGGCACTAAACTTTGTGAGGAAGAAAAGCCTGTTTTAGATTTTTTTTAAATAGCTCACATGAATGAATAAATAAGCTTAATGTAATGACTTTTTTATATGTTTATATTCCAGGTTCAAGAGAACCAGATGAAAATAGTGAAGAAAATCCAAAAACCAGCCGCAAACTGCTGAACCAGCCTCAGCTCAGGAAGAGGGTACCCAGGGTAAGGCTGTCTGAAATGCATTTGATGTCGTCGTTGAGGATTAAAGAATCGATTTCTACCCACCCTCCTCTAGGCCCGTTTCATTAATCACCAGCACACTATTCACAGTCATTGAAATCTTGATTAGATAAGCTAAAGCTAACACAGAGATCAAGGCACTGTTTGTAATGCACACGCTATCTAATCACGAACACAAGCCGTCAATCAGCATGGCGATTAGAGGGATTCGTGATGTCTGCACATCACATTCACATTACATTATAGACCTTTACACTAATTACAATCTTAGTGCCTCATTGTTCAACACACTGAAACTTACACAATTCGAGGTCTGTGTGAATGAATTCCTGCTGTGTCTACTGTCACAGGATGACAAGAAACTGGAAGATGATTCTGTGAACAAGAGACGGCGCAAGGGCAACCACTACCTCACAGAGGTAAGTTCAACAGGAGCTCTAACACGTGAAGTCGTGGCAAAGAAAAGTCCAGTTATATTTTTAATGTTCAGTTATATTTAACATCCCACTCCCTGCTACCTCCTCTCTCGCCTCTGCAATCCCCTCTGTGTCCCTGCCATGGCATCAGTTGTCCTGTCATAGTGCACCCCCTGCTGGTGAGGACGGGGAGTTGAAGGAGAACAAGGTCCGCTCCATGGCAACTCAGCTGCTGGCCAAGTTTGAAGAGAACTCCTCGACTGCAAAAATACGCAACAAGGTGAGAGACAGGCAGCCTGAAGACAGTCCTGTATCAGAAGGGACTGTGGCACCCATTTAACTTTCTGACCCACGTGAGAGTCGACTTGGATTAATTTCTTTTATATGATGACTCGTGATTTTGGTCTTTATTATGTATTATTTGTTTCAACCAGAATTTAATAATCAGTTCTCATCGCAGCTGACAAGCTGACTTCAGTATGAAAGCAAAAAAAGGCATACTCATTTTAATGTTAAAAAGAACTGAATTGTGAAATGTATCATTACTTAATACCTAACATTGATATTTAAAACCACTTTACTTATTTATCTAAATGTATGTATTAGGTTTGAATTCCTTTTAAAGCTTCCCAAAGGACAAAAGTATTTATTTAGAATAGTTCTCTCTCTTGTGTTTTAATGAGATTAGGGGCTTTTTACGATTATGTTGAAGTGTAATTCTTTATTAATAAATAGTAAATTTCAAAAAGAGAATTTCAAACTACCATAAATTCAGATATGTTTTTTTAAAGTAAAATGTTTCAATCCTATTAAATCAGTGGCATTGAGTATTCAGTGTTATGGAGTGGTTAAATATGACTATTAGTCATAATAATTTAAGCATTAAAATGATTATGGCTATTACTTGTTTCCACATTTAAGATTAGATTACATTAGATAAATCTTTATTGTCATCACGCGGAGTACACGCACTGAGACACTGAAATGCAGTTCAGTATCTACCCAGTGCAGACAGTTAAGTGCAGAATAAAATACATATGTATAGAGGTAATATATAAATGAACAGTGAGGAGTAGATATGAATACGCTATATAGATGTATTGATATATACAGTATGAGCATGTGCAGCAGTTACAGTAGTATTAATATACTGTATAGTGCCAGTGCAAGTACAAATAATGCCAATAGTACCTGAAAAACATTGTACAGAAATTAGCAGCTGAAAGTATAACAGATTACAGTGTACACACTGTAGGTAAGATACACTATGGACTAAATATTTGGCGGATTAAGGTTCATTATAGAGCAGATGTAATTATAGACAAAGCACACTGCTTGCAGGTGTGTGTCGGCATTGCTTTCTGGATAAATTTAGTCTCAGTATGTTATGGAGCCCCTACAGGGGATGTAGAGGAACAACAAAAAAAGGGTCGGGGGAAAAAACATAAATTGCGCTCTCCTGAGAAACTTTTGCGTTCTTCCAAGAACCCAAGGGTCAAAGCACTTGCTTGAGGGAATCTCTGCTCTGGCAGTGTCTATTGACTTTCCAGCCTTACTGTTGTGTCTCCCCCATGCCCCCCTTATGGGCTCCGTAGTATGTTGAGGTTAGTGAGGCCTCTGCACCATAACGTAGTATTTAAGTTACTAATTACTGCCACTCTATTGACCTGCTATTCTGTTGCCAGCTTTGTTCAGTACCTGTATTTTATTTCCAAAGCATGTGAAATGTATTTGTGATCTCTCGAGGACATTTCCTTTCTCCTTGAATTTCCTTTCCTTTCCTTTTTCCTTTCCTTTCCCTATTTCCTTTCCTTTCCTCCTTACATCAGCCTGATGAGGACCCATCCGATCCATCCCTTTCTCCTCCTCTGTCTCCTTCCACCACCCCACTTCCTCTCTCAGAGGAGGAGGAGGAGGAGGAGGAGGAGGAGGAGGAGGAAGAGGATGAGGATGAGGAGGAGAGAGATAATCCCCGCTTTGCAAAGCCCAAGGACGTCCCCCCTCCTCCTCTTCTGCCTCCCCCTCGCCCCAAGTGGCAGGTACGCCTCCCTCTGACCACAGAATGGGATTGGATGGGTTTAATTTACACATTACAAATAACAACGCCATAAATGTTTTAAACATTTGTGGAACTACTACAAACCCCATACTCTCTTGTTTCCTCTTGCTTCTCCTCGTCTCTTCTTCCTCTTTCCAGCCTTCCATCTACCTTCGCTTACTGGAGAATCCCAGTGAGGTGGCTCAGCAAACCAGTTTCCTCTATTCCCCCAAATCGCCTCCCCCTCAGAGCGGCTTCAGTCGCTCTCCTTCACCCTCGCACTCTAAGAGTCCACTAAGTTCTCCGCGCTCACGGAGCCCTAATGTTACCGAACATTACTACCCAGGACGCACCTCTCCTGACATGTCAACCAGTCATTTCTCTGCTTCAGATATTGATCATTCCTCTGAGAGGTCAGAGGGGTCAGTGCAGCAGGTGAATGCTGAATATTTTCCATCACGACTTTTATAAAAAAAAAATGTGGTTACAACTTATTTTTTACATGCTCTGTTACAATTTCCGCCACCACCTGCTGTCTGTGCAGAGACTGTCTACTAGAGAGTTTGCTGGGAGGAGTATAAAGGAGAGAGCTGTCCTCCTTTCCTCTCTATTTCCTGGGTCCAACAAACCTCCCCCTGCTCCTCGTTCTCCTCTTCCTGCGTCACAGGTTGTGTATTGCACCAACCATATTGCTCGACTAATAACATTTAGTTGCATGTTCATGATAACTGTGTGCGTCTTGGACATCATGGTCTGTAAGAGGTGCAGCATTTACAGTTTGAGCATATGGCAGTTGCTGAGCTGCTGTTTTCTTTGGTGGGTCCGAGGCTTCAGGTTGATTTATATTATATTGATTATTGATTGAACGGGTATCCTGGAGGTTTAGATCTGAATTCCATATTTCCACAGATTTTAGTGTCAGGATTTGACCAGGCTACGGAAGCCCTGAGAGGCTAGGGAGAATGAACAAAAAGCAGTTTTGAACGTAATTGTTTATGAGTTAAGAGTGGAAAAAATCTTTTGTCTTGAGAAATTAAAAAAAATTGTTAAACTGTGCTTTTACTCTTATTTAGAACATGGAGCAGTGGTGCAAATGATTATTAAAACAATAAAAAAAAAAAAAACACCAGCCTGTTTGATGAAAGAAAATATTATCCTGGGAAAACCAAACCAAGCAGTTTAGACTTAACCGCTTTTTTTCTCACTTGCCGCTTAGGGTTTCCAAGGCGAATTTGAGCATGTGGATATTATAGGTTTTGAATATTGGTTAAAGGGCAGGTTGCATGATGTTGGTGGCGATTAAAAGCCCTGGAAACATATTACAGTAAGTTTTCATCAATGAATAAGCAATAGTTGAATGTTGGAAAAAAAAAATTAAAAATTGTGAAGTGTCCAAAAACGTTTTGACAAAGACAGAAATCTCTCATCTGAAATAACCAGAACTGTAATAACTCTAGATAGAGAATATTTAGATAGAAAACTTGTCAAACTTGACTTTCAGGGCCTTTAATTGTCTCTGTCAGCATTCACTAACACATTTGACATTTTTTGATTAACTTTAAATTAGTTTGCTTTTGCTTCAAAAGGGAACATTTCTACAATCTCCTTGACTTGTCTGTGTGAAATTCTCTTCAGGCAGCTTTTGATTTGGTGAAGTTATTTTCCCTCCATTCTCATGCTTCTGTTCTGCCCAGTCTTTAATTTCTGTTTGACTCTTCTTCTGTAGGTGGAACGTTCTACCTCTTCCCCTCCTTCCTTGTCCCCTCCTCCTCCTCCTTCTCCTTCTGCCTCTGTACCTAAGAGCTCCACTGTCTACCCTGTAGTCCACCCTGTCCCTGACCCCACCGCCCAGGCCGGTTTCTCCTCTGTCCCGCTGTACGCTGCTGGACACAAGGACAGGATACAGAAAGACCCCTCTACTCCCTCCTCTTACACTGACTCTGAAAAAACAGATCAAATCTCTTCTCTTCATGTTGATTCCTCCACACGTAACGACAAAACGCCGGCTGCCCTTCCTTCAGCTTGCTCTGATGAGAACCAAAAGTTCTTCTCTCCTTTCTCTGACACTAACTGTGTAAATGGACACAGCAGCTCATCTTCTCATCCAGTCTCTTCACTGCACAAGGACAACAATGAGGGGATGCATGAGAGTGAGCAGGAGATGGTCCACAAAACTGCTCGGGAGACATTTGATGATAGGAAATTAGCTGACAATGATCACATGAAGGTAATGGTTTCCTTGTGCGTATCAGTAGCCTGCCTGAAGACAGCCAGCTAGTCCAGCACTAAAAACCTGCAGATCTCAAGTGAAAGTATCCTACTGGAAAATATTCCCAAATTAATGCTTTCTTAAAGGGGATTTTTTTTAAACCAATTTTAAGATCATTATAATTACGTTTTTTTTTTTAATTGTGTCTTGCATACAAATAAGCCCATTTTTTCAAATGATCCTTCAAAGTATACTATTTACTTGGACCTTCTTAGATTAGGACTAATTAAATTGGGACTAATTAAAAAAAAAAAAAAAAACATCTTCCCTTGTCTTCTGAGCTTTTGAGACAAAGTTGGAGAAACATCAAACTAACCAAATAACTCCAGAGGTTTATACAGCCAACCTTAAACTTCAGAATTCATATGCTTTATTCCTGTGTCCAAAGACACTGGCTCTGCTCTAACCCAAGGCTACAAACTCATTTCTGTTCTGAGTTTCTGATACCAATGAGATGTAAAAGGTTGAAATTCTGGTATGTAGTGTTGCTAGAATAGAAGTTCCATTTGGCTGTTAAAACTCAATTTGATGTCATAATGTCACATTAATATAATCACAGCCTAGATTATCCATGGAGAAACATCACATTTCGTATTTTTATTGTATTCACATATTTCTGATTCTGCCTGAGGAAAGGGTTGAGTTAGATTAAACAAAGAAAACCCATAGCCAAGAATTAGGCATGCAAGGATTCTTAGACATTTTTGGCTCTGACATACAGTATATGAACTGTGTATCATTGTACAAGTGATCTTCATTTTGGTGTTCATTTAGTGCAATGGGAGCTGCGCTCTTCAGACCCCTAGAAGAATCACTCAAAAGTCAATTGTTCGCTCTGAGAGTTGTCCAACTGGAGCTCCTAGCTACATTAAAGAGGTACTAGTCAATACCTCAGTTTACATGCAGTTGCATAAATGCTTTTTCACCTGTCTCCTTCCTAACTCCTGTCTGTGCTTTCCACTTCCTTCCTTCTCCTCCCCTCCAACCGTCTGTGCCTGTGTTTCCCTGATGTTAACATTAGCGTACAGTTGGAAAGGTATCATCAGCCATAGGTGCTAAAGCTCAGATACTGGCCGTCCTCTATGAGACAGACCACAGGCCCAATGCCACACCGGTAAGCTGCATGTGGATGTTGCAGACACAAATCTAACCCAGAGTTCATGGATTTAATGGAATTGTAATACAGTTTACATCTTAAACTAACAGCATTATTAAAGAGGTGTCATTAGGGAGTGTGTTGATTTCAACTATATGACTTTAAGATTTAAAGCACAAAAGAAAAACAGAACGTTTTTCATGCTGCTCCTAGTTTTGACAGCAGATAATCTGCCTTTTTCAGGCTGTAGTTCCCGGGCCACGGAGGGCTCCTAAGGCAGTAAATGGCAAAGCAAAAGAGCTGCTAGTATGTTTGCAACAGTGCTAGATGGTTTCACACCACAGAGACATGAAATAAAGCTGGGGACTAAAGCAGAGGACTGGCTGTATATGCATATATATATATATTATATAGCTTGGATACATATACATTTGCATGCAGGCATTATCAGCTTAAAGTCACGTTTAACTGCTGTTTGGCCTTTAACTGCCTGCTGGTTTGAATAAAAGCTTGGTTAGCTACAGTGTAGCTGGAAGAGACTAGATGATGATTAGCTTGATGCTCACAGTAGTGTTGTGGATGTAAATCACATCATTTGAACTGGAGTCTAACGCCTGTCACAATTCTGCTTGATCTCTGAAGAGAATTGACACTATTGTTGGGTTCGAGTGACATGAGACATTGGATGGTGATAACCTAAAAAGTGGTCTTCATTTAAGTGAAAGTAAACTGGCAGTCTTAGCATTTAGTCATATTAGAATTCCACCTTTGAGATATTGAGGTTTATTGCACATACTGAATTTTTGCTATATTTTCTGAGTCGGTTTTCTTCCTTTTACTTGCTGACATGAGATTTGATATTGTTAATTCTACATTTAGACTCTGGGAGTGGACTTAAGGCTTGTGGCTTAAATGAATAGATCAAAATTTCCCAATAGATTTTTTATATCTATGCTATTTGCTTTATTGCCGAGGGTTAGGTGGGAAGATTGATACCCCGTATGCCTGTACCGTAAATATGAAGTTGCAGCCAGCAAATGATTAGCTTAGCTTAGCATTAAGACTGGAAACAGGAAACAGCTACCATAGCTCTGTACAAAAGGGTTATGCACTGGAATTATTACAGACACAAGAGTGATATCAATCTTCTCATCTAACCCTCAGCATGCTATTTAAGACTGACCTCTGCCCCGAGGAAACCGTAGATTGGCCTGGATCATTTAATATCCTGGTACAATAAAAAGGGCTGAGTCTGTTGATCATCATGAGTAACTGGGACATTAACATTAATGATACTTACTGTCAGTAAAATGACGAAAACATTGAAAACATTTACATATTTGCTTTATGGTACAGCGGTAAGCCTGTTGTTTTTGCTGTAATTCAACTGGAAACACCACTTTTTTTCACATAATAGTATTCACTGTGAATCATTTAAAAATAATATTTCTTGTCATTCTTCACTGATTTTATTGCAACCAAACATTTTCTATGACTGGTATAACTGCTTTTAACAGTCACTGCTGGACCACGCTTTTAATTTGTTTTGTGTATGTTTTTTGCAGGCATCTCTAGAAAATAATCAACAACTCTAAAAGACTTATCCTGAAGGCTGCATGTAACATTTATATAAACTTGTCCTGGTCTTCTTCCTCTCAGTGTGTGCTACGTAAGGACCTCCCTCCCGGGCTTGGCGGCAGTGATATCTGCCACTTCTGCACCAAGCGGGTGTACGTGATGGAAAGACTTAGCGCAGAGGGCTACTTCTTCCACCGCGAGTGTTTCCGATGTGACGTCTGCAACTGCACCCTCCGTCTGGGAGGGCACACCTTCGACTCGCAGGAGGGTACGCTTAATTCATAGTAACTATGGATGCTTTCACCACAGAGTGACTTTAAAACACAAAGGTGTTCATGTTCTAAAAATATTATATGGATGATGTCTCACTTTATTTTCTAGTTTTTCAGAGGTTTAGATGAATCATTAAATTCTTGGAAATGTTAAGTGTCAATGTGTCAGTTTCAGGAGATTAGTTATTATTTATAAGAGTGGATTTTTGTGTGCTTCCTTTACAGCAAAGTTCTACTGCAAGATGCATTATGCCCAGCGTCAGTCCAGCAGTCACGTGGGGAGGTTCAGAAGGAGAATGGTAAGGAAGACAGCAGTGGTTCCATACAAAAACTAGCTAGAAAGAAATTTTAGGTGTGTTTGCTGCCCACTGAGGAGCTGAAGCAAAAAATGTGTGATATAAAAATTGGGAATGTTGGCAAATTTCTTGAGGTGCAAATGGGAATAAGCTATATGCTATGCTAGGTATGGTATTGTCCTAGAAACCAATCCACAAACTGAAACTGAATCCTCAATAATGCTTCCTCTTTGCCCTACGGCTCACAAGTTACATGCTGTATAACTAAAACACTTGGTGGCGCTATTGGTTACTTGATTGAATATGTGTGTCAAGTATGATTTCTTTAATGATCACAGAATCATGGTTATTCAAACTGATGTTTTGAGTTGAATTCAAAATGGCGGAAGCCTAGTCAAAAAAGTCAGAAAAGCCGCTGGTTTATAATGTATAATTTGTAATTTACATGTTACATGTAATGTAACAACTGTATTGTTTTTGGTGTCTTGTAAGCCCATCAGGGTTGGGCCCCTTGTGTGAAAAATAAATCAATAAATCAAATTAAGTACAAATGTAAAAATTGGCAAATATAGTATGTACCCAGTTTGGTGAGAATTGGATGAAATATGGAGGATCAGCATATAAAAAGTGTTCTGCAAAATATAAAATAGTGCAAAGGTAGGAGAAGCTTAGTCTTGTTCTAAAAAATCCACCAATAACAGATTAGATATCATATAGAGAGTTACTGGCTAAAAACTGCTTTATTACTGGCCATATAGTGCAAAACGTTTTAGATTTTCTGTTGATCCTTGTGGGGAAATCAAATGCAGCTATTTATGTGAAAACTTCAGATCACTACCAAGAATCATAGCACATGAGTCATAATCTCAGACATCAGTTTGATGTAGTTTTTGTGTGCGACGCTCCAACAGTGTGGAAATAGTTGCACACCAAGAAAGTGACAGAGTAAAAATAACTTTCCTGCAAACACTTTTATTTATCTTTTAGTCTAGGACTTAATTAGTTCCCTTGTTCCTCTGTTGTGTAATAGAAGGTTATGTTGTATTTCATCATTTTCCTCCTGTGTATCTTAAACTCGTGTAGGAAGACCATGTCTTACCCTCGTCGTTGGACGGTGGGACCTACTCGGCGACGGGCAGCGTCCAGATCCAACCCCCAGGTACTCTGGTGTCCTTGCTTAGGCGAGGCCTGAGCTGGCCGAGGCGTGCTAGCCGGGCTGTGTGTGTGTTGCCTCGACGGCTGTTTGGAAGTGTGTGTGAGTCTGTCACAGCTGTGGGGTCCCACTTCAGGAGCTACTCACATGACTATGTGTTCCTGTATGAGCTGCTGAGCCTGGGCTGTCCTCTGCTCTGCATGATGCACGAGGTGCTGGGACAGATCTGCCAGGAGCCCCAGCTGGCCCAGCAGCAGCCCATCGGCCACCAGCTCACATAGGAAGGCGAGTAACAAGGGGCTAGTCTGGGCCAGGTGACCCGATAGGAGCCCAGATGGATTTGTGCTCTTGTACTGCACATAACGGATAAATCAGGGGTTCATAAGTGTAATAATTGTGAAACCTAATCCAAACTGTATTTCCTATATTTCCAGTGTCCATTATCATTTTAGTTTAGTGTTTTTCAGAGTCAAAAGTGTTTTATTAAGCAACAAAAACAGTTGCTATAAACGTGCTTCACTTGATTAGCTTCTGCTGCTTGTATTCAGTGCCTGGTGTGAGTTTTGCCTGCAGTTACAGTGGACAGCACAACAAATTGAGCAATTTGTCATATAGGTACTCTGACTATATTATGTATTGAAGTATTAAATGATACATGCTGAGCTGACTTCAGGGGTGATGCATAAATATAATGCGGCTGCCCTTGTGAATACCCGGCTCTGTTGGAAATGAGCTCAGATCTCCTGGTACGTGTTTGTTGACCGTCAGGGTCTCCTGGTCTTGCATCTCTGACTCACATGGGCTTGTTCCAGGCTGCTGAAACTGTAGCCATCCCCTAAAGGTGCTAATAATTCCATTCATATCACACAACTGTCACCAGATGATCTGCAACAGAGATCAATGTTGAGATCTTGGTGGTCAGTTTGTAACATTTTCCACCTTGATGAAATCTGTCCCAGTCATTTGATTCTGATCCAGTGATCTTGTCCGGCTTAGAACAACCAATTAGACTCTCATTCTGCACTCCAGACAGGCTTGAAGTGTCTGGAAGAATCAGTTTTGATAATGTACCAAGGACATTTAATTGTAGGAGGAGAGTAACCTGGAACATGCCCTCTGACTCTAACCTTGAAGCCATCTGGGCAGTGTGGTGTTCTTTCAGTGAACTAGAATGATGTCAGAGTAATGCACATGGTTTCTGACGTCACACCGACTCTGCATATTGCCTGCTGCACCTTAACTCTGCACCACAGAGATGTGCAATGGAAATGCCAAAACAGTATTATTATTATTATTTCATAGCATCATTTTTAGGAAACCCTTTTGTCATTAGACAAAAAACTTTTTGTAGACGGTGTTAATATTTCGCTTTGATATGTAATTTGTTGAAGATAATTGACTGATAAATGACTAAATATATTTAGGGCTCATTGTTTATGGTCAAAATTGTGAAAAGAACATCGATAATACAAAAATCTGCGTGAAAATCAAGTCATGACGAATTTGATTACTGAAGCAAATGTTTAACCTCGGGACTCAAATCAGTAACTAATTTGAGTTTTTCCTCATTCTGATTTGTGCTACCAAAAGAGTTTTTGAGTTCTGCCTGTCAGAAGAAGACCCATAAATACTTTCACAATTTCAAACTCTGTTTTTCGATCCATATGTTTTTAATACAATCTGAGTATTTTTGGATGAAAATCAGTCCAAACCAAAACAATGAGCCTTCTCTATAATCGTTCAGGCAGTGGTGGACATGTTTGCTTTAAACAAGCAGAATCCACAGCAGACTGTTTATTCCTGACTTTTTTTTTTTTTTTTTTTTTTTACAAAAAGTTTTGCTTTCTTTTGTAATTTTTGATAATTGTCTTGTTGCATATTCTGTGTTGTAAGTGCTGCCTGAGGCGAGTTTAGTTCTGAATATTAGCTTTAATTGTGCAGAATTAGGGGCCAATTCTTCAAATGCACTGTTGGGGCACTGACCTGTTTACGGACAGTTCTCACATTTCAATGTAATGTCTTACTGTAATCACTTTATTGCCAGCAGTACGTTTCCTTGTAATTCTCAGCACTTGTTTCCTCTCCATCCTCCATCTTCCATTTTCCTTTTTTCTCACATTTCATTCATTTTCTTTTTTTTCCAAATTCATTTTTCTTTCTTTTGTTCACTTCATTTTGTTCAGTCTGTTTCAAGTTTCCAATGCTGCATCCTCTGATTGGCTGATTCCTGCCAGCGGGGAAGGTGACGATTGGCCGGCTTCGGTCATAAGATCTTGTCTTGTTGCTTTTGCGTTGGCTGTCTCTGTAGCTCCGCCCCCTTCCACCTAACCCACATTAACCAATCACAAACCAGCACGAATCCTGAGTATGGCATGCAGTATTTGGTAAAGGTGTTGTGTGTAGCATCGAGATATATTAAATAGAATTCCAAATTGAATGTAACACTTTGGTTAAATTGTAACAAAAAAATATTACTACTCATACATTTAGTTTTTTGTGTTTCTCAGAAAAAGGATCATTATGCTCGAGATGTAGCCAGCGTTATTCTTTCATTTTGTTATTGTGAACAAATTCCATGAAAAGACCAACACAATACGTCTTAACTTCCCTATCCTGCCTGTGGCTGCGCTAGTGGCGTGGCTCTAAGGATGACGATGTCGGTCATGTTGTCCACACTGAGACATCTCAGCAACTATAAGATGGACTGCCATGATATTTTATATAGACGTTCAAGGTCCCCAGAGGATGAAACCCACATACTTTATTGATCCTCTGACTTTTTATGTAGTGCGACCAGAAGTTCAAACTTTTCACTTATGCAGTGAAATATCTCAGCATCGACTTACTAGATGCTTGGAACCAGTCACGGTTCCCAGAGGATGATGACTCGGCTGTACTTTGTGTTTGGTGCTAATTAACAAATGTTCCAACATGGTGAACTTGGTAGATGTTATTATATAATATATAAATATCAGCATGTTAGCATGCTGACGTCAGCTGTACAGCCTCACAAAGCTGCTAGTGTGACTGTAGACTTGTACTCTTGTATTTTTTTTGGGGGGGGGTTTGTATCATTTTGGCCAAGTGTCCTTCCTGGTCCTGGCTGTGATGCAAAGTATGGAATATAGTGTTGTTGGACAACAATGGAGCTCTATGGCACAGAGGAATAAGCTATATCAGGCTTTGGCTACTAGCAATACTTGTTAATGGGATCGACTCGGTTTGTTTTGGTCTTTTCGTGGGATTTGTTGATAATGAGGAAGCTATATAATTTAGCTGGGCTTATGCTTTAAGACTGTTATTGTGACCAAGTTTGAAAGTTTTAGGTCTCCATGAAAGATCAGCGCTCTCAGTGCCACTACAGATCAGAACCAGCTGATTTATGATGCACACATAGCGCCTTTTATTTGGTTTGTTTCTCAATCGTTCCGTTCATTTGTTCCCACATAATCCGAGCTAACCCCATTAACACTCATGCTGTGCTGTGTTCCTCCCTAAACCCCATAACACCAAACATCCATTTCAATGCCCCTGAATTTGCTTTTTCTCTCTGATGTACCATCAGCAGCAGCCTCCCTTCTTGTCAGGCCCGTTTGACAGTAACGAATGTATCCACGTGTCTGTGGTCTGTCTGTGGTTCCCTCTGTTTCAGAAGGAGGCCTCCCCCCCTCAGAGCCCCTCTCCAGATCTCTCTCATGTACCTCCTAGACTTTGCTCAGGAGATCAGCAGCCCCATAGCAGCTTTTTGCACACTGCCAGATCCACTTTGTTGGCTGTATTCTGTATGTTTCTTAGTTTTGTTCATAACAACTCTTGAAGCAGCCTGCAAGCCTTGTTATTTGTTTTCCACGTTGATAATTATTGTAAAATTGCTTAATTTATGATATTTATAAGCTGTAAATATATTCAAAAATAAATCAGTTTGATTACATAAATAATTTGCTTCGTGGTTTGTTGCCATTTAGTCGAACAACTTCAAGAAAGCTCAGACATGATTGAACAGTTATCCCATAATATTCAAAGTATTTCCATATCTTTTAACCACAAAATTAACAACTTCGACAAAGCAAATCCTTTCCGCTCCTCTGTGCTAAGTTGATGTAACATCACCCACACAAATCATATTCACACTCACAGCTTTTGTTAACTCAACAAATAACATGTGCTTTGTAACATCTGATGAAAAGCTGAGCGACCTTTAGGTGTGCAGCGGATTCAGAGGCACACAGGAGTGGGCCCTTAATCAGCTTTAAAAGCTTCGGCCTGCAAAAAAAAGACAATTGTCATTTTAATGTAACATTAAAAATGGACAAAAACATTAGGCTAAATGCAAAAGCTTTAGCTATAATCAAATACGGTTGAGCTAAGGTAAATTGAACCTAACTGAAATACACTGCAGTCAACCTGAACAGAATTGAAGTGAATCACTTGTCGGTTCCTCCTGTCAGCTTCCTCATGGGTTCTGCTAGTGGGTCTGCTCTATCCTCTCCTCTGGGTGGGGTATCTATGTATCATTTGGTGAAGTTTTATTCTCTTGTGGTTATTCACTAGTCTCTCCTGACAACATTTAACAGTGAGAGCATACGTGGGTACAAGTCAATCCCATTAATAAAAACTCTGGTTATCTAAAGACTGATAGACACACTGCATACAAAGCTTGTATCAAGATATTTTCATTTCTTTGCTGTGACCAAGTGGAATCACCTTGGGAAAGATTCTGTACAATTTTGACATCATTACTCTGTGAGTACTGTTCTGAACATGTCCTGTATTTTATCAGTGCTTGTGTTGCCAATAGAGATGAATACTTTATTGTGGAGTTTAAAAAACCTGGACTGGAATTTCCTTTTAAACCGCATGTGTCTCATTCAGAAGCAGAACCTATTTTATGACTTTCACTGAATGCTTTACTGTGTGAAAAATACATTATGAAAAGTTTGCTGCCTGACAGGAACATATTTGTTTGGTACCCAACAACAATTGTTTTAGATGATGTATTACACAGGAAGTGCAGTAACTTCTAACCTGTTGTTCTGAAGTAGACAGTGAGACATTATGCATGAAAATGAGCTACGTGCTAGAACATTGTACTGCAATTTAGGTTGGCATGGATTGAAAGGTAGTTAAAACTTAATGCCTGTGTACTGTTTGTATTTGCAGGAGTGACGTCCAGCTTGCGTTCAGAGCAGCTGGATAAAGGTCAGAAAAGAGTTCCTGAAGACACAGAGATGGCTGTGGAAGCTCTGGATGCTTCCTGTATAGTCAAAGCAGCACAAGATACTACAGGGGCCAAGGGCCAAAGCCAGGACAGTACAAAAGGTCGGTGTGGCTCCTACAGTACAGTATGTGGTCTCATTTTCAAGCTCCCAAAATATGCAGCACTGTGTAAATACAGTTTCTGTTTGAGTGACCTATTAACAAAGATACCCCGCTGAACAAATGGGTTTTCAGCCTCTGTTATTATTTGAAAACATGATATTCCCTGAGGGACAATCCTAAACTGGCTGAACTGTAACTAGTGACCGTACTGCGTGTGTGTGTGTGTGTGTGTGTGTGTGTGTGTGTGTGGTGTGTGTGTGTGTGTGTGTGTGTGTGTGTGTGTGTGTGTGTGTGTGTGTGTGTGTGTGTGTGTGTGTGTGTGTGTGTGTGTGTGTGTGTGTGTGTGTGTGTGTGTGTGTGTGTGTGTGTTGGAGTCCCTTCCCCCTGTTAATGTCTGGGAGATGAGGGTGTGGTTGACATTCTGTAGGTTTTCTCCCTCACTCAGCTGAATGTTTGTTATTTTATCTCCGCAGTAGAGTTTCCCTGGGCTCCACCGTCTGTCTACATGCACTCCTGCACATGCAGGAACAATGCAAACTCAACAGTCTCGGCTTTTAAAGCTGCTGTTTTATTTTTTATTTTTTTATTTTTCAGTCTTTAGGGACCGTGTCAGTTTGGTCCAATTTGTCAGCACAGTAAGCATGAGGAGGCACTGGTGCATATGTTTATTACTGTGAGTCAATGTGTTTGTACTGTAATATTTGTATTATTATATATTCTGAATTGCTAAAATCTTCCTGATGAATACCCCCCATATTATAATAAAAAACTAAACATCTTTAAACAATAAAAACTAAACAGAAACTAAAGAACAGACTGTGGAAACTAACTGAAACTGAACTGAATTGAACAAAAACTAATGAAAAATATAGAACTATAATAACTTGTTTGGTTATAGAGCTTAAAAAGAAGAAAACTTAAAATCTTGAACATTTTTATTATACTAGATTTTTTATTTGATTGTCTGTTTCTCAGACAACATACCTCTAAATATTCTGTGTGTTCATCCAGACTCTGTAAATACCTACAGAACTAATGATAATCCCATCAGCCTCAGTCTCAGTATTAAATGTTGCTAAAAACACGTGTAAAGCAGTGGTTCTTAGCCTGGGGTCCACGGGGGTCCCCAGCGGAATGGGGAATATTTTTTAATTTCACTTTTCTTCCATTGGCTCAAGTTTAGCCCAATGGGAGGATGTATAAGAACAACTACTCTGTTCATAGGTTTCACACTCTTCACTGTTAATCTGCCAATCTACAGTTCAAACAGTTATGCAATAACTACTTTAATCAGACGGGGATCCCTGAGACAGTACATCATAGCAAATACAGATCTGCGGCCTGCTGTGTATCAATTTGGGTGTCACCAAAAAGGTAGAGGACCACTGCTGTAGAGGATTTGGTCTCTATGCTGTTGTCCTGTAACAGGTCATTTGACCGAGCTCCCAAAACATTCAGTGTGCCTGTCTCAATGTGGTTTGGTCTCCGTCCCCCACCTCTGTAGATCACTCCAACACCAAACAGAACAATCGATGGAAACGGAAGATCAGAGCCAGTGAGTACCTCCCATTTTTATTCTGTCTTCGCGTTGCTTCTCCCATCTTATTAGAATCCTTGGGATTTCTTTTGCATTGTGTCCCTTGTCTAAAGTCATAATATCTGTATTTATTTGTCCTATAGCCTCAGCTACAGTTGATAGAAATGTCACAGTCCTTAGCTAAGGTGTTTGTGTTTCTGTGACTTGTACACATATATGTGGTGTTGTAAATCAAAGAACTGTTAGTGGGGAAGTGTCCTGGAAAGAAAAGGCGGTGTGCAGTAGATATGGGATTTATGGCTTCAAAGAGCCGTTCAAAAGACTGGCTCATTTTTATATTTATTTATTTTTAAAAAGCTAGCCTGGGGGTTACTCATTTTATCTGGGAAATAATCACTGGGAGGAATGATAGGGTAAGATTTGGATCAGAATCATTAAACCTCAGACACCCCAACAATATATATTATATTATATATTATAATGGTGGGGTGTCTGAGTTTAAATTATTTTGAAATATTGATGTGCCACTGTGTCGGACAACTCAGATGACGTCATGCGAAATTTGCATATGAAATGAGCACCCCACGTGTATTCTGCTGCCCCCTCCCCACGTCGTGCATGCTCTCCGTCTCAGTGGAGTAGCAAAGGAGGAGCGTGGGTGCGCATGCTGTGTGCGTGACAGCGATTTAAAAAAAGAAAAAGAAAAAGAACTGCGACTCGGTTCCCATCGTTCATGTTAAAGAGCCGTTCAATAGATTCGGTAGGTTCCTGACCGTCACAACTCTAGTGTGCAGTGACTGCACTGAGGTCACTAAAGAACACTGTTGTAATGCAGCAAGCACAACACTAGAGGTCAGTATTGTTCTCTGTTAATTCTGATAGCAGTCATAGCGAAATGTCAATCAAAATCCACTCTGCTTTATAACCACAACACCTCTTGTCTTTATGCAGATCTGAAATTCACATTATGTTTCACATTTGCAAACTGCATGACTTATTTTATACTGTTTTATTAAGGATGAATTGTGTATAATAGTTCTTCATCACAGGCGACATTTTGACTTGTCGTGGTAGGAAAAGCTCAGGTGTTACTAATAACATTAATGATGGCTCTTCATGAGCCGTGCAGGGGCGGATCTAGAGGGGTTACTCCAGCTCCCACCCCAATTTGGTGTCAAATACTGACAATTTTACAGTACGGGGTTTAAAGACTGGTTTTCCATTCATGGAAACACCTGGAAATGGATTAAAATGAAGAAATATCCTGGAAATAATCTATATTGTCCTGGATATGTTTACAGTATTTTAGCCCCTCACTCAGATCTCATCCGTAAATCTGGGTGCGTATTTTGTTTGAAACTCTCAAACCGTTGTCAGGATGAGCTGTGCACTGACACTTCAAGAGAGTTTACCAGACATGGAGTGGAACGGACTTGTAGCGATCCTTCCACCGTTGAGTCATTGATTTTACAGTTAGAGGAAAACCGTAGTAAACTGTAGTCAATTTGCTGGAGACAGCAGCGGAAAAATCTGCTTTGGTGGGAAAGCCAAGGGTGGATTGTCCCAGAAACACTGACCACCTATCTGTAATGAACCTGACACACTTCATGAAGGAGGAATAAAACTGGTGTTGAATGTGAATCACATTCCTCGATATTGTCTGGGAAATTATTTCTTAAAAAGAGTGGGAACCCTGATTTAATTTAAAATTGTAAATAAAACAATTTATTCATTTCTAATACCACCTTCAGATATTTTGCATCATTTGCCAGATATGTGCCAAAATAATGTAATCTTTTAGTTTGAACATCTTTGTCAAGTTAATATTGATATATGTGATTGTTTGCAATTAATATTCATAGTCAACATGCCAGCCCATGAATATTTCTCCAGATTAGCCTCTGGTTGAAAGCAGCTTAAAATAAGTGCATTCAACTTCCACAGGGACGAGAGCACGATGTCCCTGCCTCTGAAACAAACAGCTGAGAGTGTTCTTTCTGCCCTCATACAGCCTTCCCTCTGATCTTCATCAAGCACTTCCAGAGGAGCTGGCCGGTAGACAAAGAGGGACCGGAGACCGTCCCCGAAGCTGACTCTGACTTTGAGGAGATCACTTCTGCAGAAAAACAAACTGTGTGTCACGTGAAATTTATTCTAGATTTTTTGGATACGCACCACATAGCCTACTGTATAGTGTGCATGTAGTTTTAGGACTTATTGAGAATTATATAACTAGAGTAAGAGCTCTGTGTAATTTATTGACAATGCTTTAAGCCTGTTTTGAACTCTGTTGTTTGTTGATGTTTTCTCAGAACTCCGAGGGCAATTCCAAGACTACAGCATATACCCAGAATACCTCAGAGGGAAGTGAGAAGAGAGAAGAGCGCTCAGCTACAGTAAAGACGGCCTGCGACTCGTCTACCCCGAAGAAACGCTTGATGTTATCTCTTTCTGAGAAAGAGAAGCTTCTGAACTGGGACACGCTCGTCACACCAGAGGAAACTCTGATTAACACCGAAAACACACATCAACATAAAGCCCAGGTGGAGTCAGTCATTTATTAAGGCAGCACTTTCAGTTGTTCTAGGGAAGAATACGCCTGCACATGAAGTGTATTTCTGCTCCTTATCTCTTTATGCTCCTTCCTTCTACAGTATAATGCAGCAGGCCAAAGACAGTGATGTGTGTGAGATAAGAGGAGTTAATTCCACATTGTGTTGACCACATTTTTCCTGTCCTCTGATGTTTTATCAGGTACAAGCAGGGACAGAAACAGATAAGCCTCAGACAGACTCGGGCCAGGACGAGGAGCCATCCCAGAGCCAAACCTCGGCCTCGTCGCCCTCAGCCTTCCAGCTTTTAGCCAACGCCTTCAAGAGGAAATTTAGTGTGACCAATCCCTCCAGCAGCTCCAACACTGCAGTCACAATGTTTGTATTAAATGCTTTGTTGATACTTTAGTTAAGCGGCAAGTTTTTGGATTGATTGATTGATTGATTCAAATGAAAACATACCTAGGTTTTGTTTTATATCATCTTTTGCTTTACAAGGAGGACCAAACGCGACAGCCCCCGCAAGCAGAGGCCCATGTCAGAGGGGACGTTCAACTTTAGCGCCCTCTTCGGCACCACAGGTCCAGAGCCATCCGGAGAAGAGAAGAAGCCCGTCAAGCGCGAGGCACGATTGGCATCTCTAGGGGCCGATCCGTGGGGGGGCGGGCGGGACCTGCCCTCTCTGCTGCAGCAGGTGTCCCTCAAGGGCCGTAGAGACTCCGGTGGGGTGTTCTCTGACGACATGGCCCCGTTGCCCCGCAGGAGGGTCAACTTGTTCTCTTCCCTGAGGCTGAGGAAGAGAGAGGATTCAGAGAGCGAGGGACAGGACCAGGAGGTGCAAAAGGAAATCAGGACCATACTCACCAACCTCAGAAACAAAGGTTAGTGCAGCCATTCTCTGTGGCACACAATACTTTAAACCTGCATGATTAATGATAATAGATTTCAAAGGGCTAAAAGTGCAGCTGTCGAGTAATACACAATAAAAAGCAAAGACCAAAGCAACATAATAAAAGTTAACATAATTAACAAATGTCTTATTTGTTATCAGATACATCTTGTTGTGGATCACTGGTTTAGTGGCTTCAATTGAGAAGTGATAGAGGTTAAACATAAAAAAACTGTGTTTGTTCAAGGTCCTTCTCTTATATGACATTTATTTTGAAGCCGTTATATAAAAGCACAAATCAAAATTATTTATTTATAAAGCGCATTTAAAAACCACATTTTACAAGTTATACATGAAAACTGTTGGTTTGTATTTTGTCGCAAAAAATCTGAATGTGACTTGCCTATTCTCATTTTTTTAACTAATTTTTATTTTTATCCAGCCGTCCGTCAACAGAATTTGGAAGAGTCTTCCTCTAGTGACGATGAAAATGAAAACCTGACATCCAATCAGAAGGTTTGTACAAACAGTTCCTATGCGCTGAAAGGCCGTGCAGTGCAGGAAAGTGTTGCATGCACTGTATTTGTGTTCATTCTCTGAAATGTTCTGTCCTTCCTGTTCCAGCTGTGTCCAGAGAGACAGAGGAGGAAGCAGGAGAAGACGGTGGCCCAGCAGGCTAAAAGAGAACAGCTGAAGAGGCTTCACAGAGCCCAGGTACTATTCTTTCCTTTAAAGATTCACTTGATTTTAATCAAGTGGTTCATGTTGCAGAGTGGTCCGGTTGGACCTGAAAGAAATGTGAAATCTCACCATATGTCTGACTGAAGTGTTTGGATGAGTACAGTACAGCTCAGTGTATGATCAGTATGACTGCACTGTAAATGTTCTTATTATGGCTGGTTCCATTTCTATTGATTTAACAGTGATGTCATTATTCTTCAGCTTCCTGTTGGATTATGGGGACTATGTAGGGGTGATTTTTTTTTTTAATGGCAAAGCAAAGATCTCATGATTCTATATCATTTCCACATGTTAAAAGAACTGAAATATTTTGGGAAATACACTCATTCGCATTCTTGCTTAGAGTAGTAGTTGGACCGATAAATCGACCTGGCAATTCATTAAATAACAGATCTATCAATATCATATCAACAGTTTCTTTACATTATGTGATTATGTAAAGAAATAAATGACTATAGGGCCGATATATTGCATTAAACTCCCAAATATCAGTATCGTGTCATAGTTAGTGAGCGTTTGAGGTGCTAGTGAGGTAAGTCTTGTTGTTTCTGCCTGTTTCCAGCCTTTAAGCTAAACTAAGCTAAGCTACCTGGCTGCTGCCTCTAGCGTAACACTAAACGTACAGACAGTGGTATTGATCTTTTCATCCAACCCATGGCAAGAGAGTGAATGAGATTATTTACCAATAATGTCAAACTAATTCTTTAACTCGGGTAGAATCCAGCCATGCAGACAGTTTTGTGTATCGTGCAGCTTTTGAGATATCTGTCTCTAGGATTTATGCCACGACCCCAATACTGAATGAATGGAAGATTTTTTGCAGTGCTCACAGCAGTGACATCCTACTTTTGAATAATTAATTCACATCAACTACTTTCTAGCAAAGAAATATTTCTAGCAACAGAAACCGTTGATGGTGGATTATCCAGAATAACACTTTGAGGAGAGAGAGATATTGCGGTGGATTTCCTCGTCAGCACCACAAACTAAATTCCTTTCACCTACATGGCATAGAGATGGAGGCAGAGATCTCAAGAGAAAGATATTAACAAATCTCCTTTGATCACGTGTGGGATTTAACATGTCTCATTTTTGTATCGCCAGGCCATCCAGAGACAACTGGAGGAAGTTGCAGAGAAACAGAGAGATCTAGAGGAGAGAGGAGTGGCTATAGAAAAGATTATAAGAGGAGAAACAGGTACTGTTTAATGTGACTTACACACACACACACACACACAAAAACTCACCATGCCTTACAAAGTTCATTTAGCCTGAACAAGATATTACAAAGCTACTTTTAATGACAGACCTCTGAACCACAACACCTTGGTTCAATGGTAAGACTACAATGCAGCTCAATGGAATTCCACTATAAAAGCCTCCTTCTTTTTTGAAATTGCTGTGCCCATACTTCTCCATTTAGAAAAAAGCACTGCCTTGTAATCCCGATCTGGTTAAAAGCCTCTACATACGGTTAATGGCTGTACTCACAATAGACAGTGAGACTTCATTGTTGCTTCATCTTTTTACAGTACAGGGCTTTGTTTGTGTCCTAGTGAATAGTGAGGTCTTGTCAGGTCGAAGCACGTGGCCTGTGTGTGTGTGTCTGTGTGTGTCTGTGTGTCTCTGGTTGAGGTTTGATTCCAGTATGTTTTCTTCTTTTCTTGTAATGGCTTTACATAATTGATGTAAAATTCTGAAATATTTTTCTCTTTCTTCCTCCGTCCTGCCTCCCCGTCCACCCTCTCTCCTTTGTTCTTTTCTCCTACCTGCCTTCCTTTGTTCCGTCTTTGCTACCTCGCTCTTCCACTCCCAGAATCATCTCAGACAGATGACGACACCGAGCTCTATCAGTCCTGGTTTAAACTCGTTCTGGAGAAGAACAGACTGGCGCGCTATGAGTCGGAACTCATGATCTTGTAAGTGGCCGCATCAGGATCACACATGGATTGAAGACTTGTATGAGAAAACATAACTTCTGTTAATATTGTTGATTGTCTCCTCTCTCTTAGTGCTCAGGAGCTCGAACTGGAGGACACACAGAGCCGACTGCAGCAAGATCTACGACACAGAATGGCAACAGAAGGTAAAAGTTGAACACACACACAAACACACACATCTGATATTATCTGATATAATAGTACATACATTTCTAAGTACCTTGCTCTGCTCTCTTCCAAATCACCCCAGACACAGATAAGAGCGCCTCTGAGCTGCAGGAGGAGCAGGAGATCCTGTCAGAGATCATGAGGACGGTGGAGAAACGAGACATGTTGGTCTCTTTCCTGGAGGAGCAGAGGCTGAAGGAGAGGGCTGAGGACAGGGACCTGGAGAGCCTTGTGCTGTCCAAGGGCTACGAGTTTCACTGGGCCCAGGCCGATGACAGCTGGGGGCAGGAGAAGCTGGAGTGAAGGCTGAATGTTGAGCACCTCAGTTGTGAAGAGAAGGGTGGATAGTAAAGGGTAGAAAGGTACTGCAAGGCTCTACCTAACACTTTTTTAAAGCAACTGAACTGGTGAAATGTAAAAAAAAAAATTGTTTGCAAATGTAATGAGGATGGAAATGTAAAAGTCTCAAGTGTTTATTCACCCCAAAGAATACAGCGAGGCTTCATCCTGTCTCACTTTGTGCTGGTATGCTGAGCTCAGAGACGGAGGAAGACTGGAAATGGAGCCTGAGCTAATGACTTCCTTCACAGCCATTAACGTCTCTGCCGTTAAGGTTATTTGACCTCTGTGCTCAGAAGTGTAATCTGTCATAGCACAGGCTGACACTGACCTGAAAGTGGATGCACAATATGCTTTACCACTTCTAATAATGTGACTGCCTTGTAATATTTTGGCACACCTCATAAACCAAAATGACTGCCTAATCAACAGCTGCTTTACATAGTTGCTTGCTTAAAGAGTGGAATTGTTGTGACAGATTATTCTGACACTGTATAGCCTCACTGGATAGCACATGGACCGACTCAACACTGTCCCTGAAGTTTTAGTGTTTTGCACAGCGTGATTTGTTTTAAATTTGCGTCATAAATCCAGAGATGTGCTTTATGTAATTCACTGTTAGTCACTTTGTAGGTAAGTGTGTGAGTGTACGCTCTCCTGTGCATATTTAAATGTTATTTTTTCACTTTGTGCTGGAACACTGTCAAATAAATGAAATGTATTAACACCCAGACACATATTTGTATTTGTAGTCAGCTGTTAAGATGTACCTCTGCCAGCCGGCTGAAAATGTCACCTTTTTATTCCTCTGTGACACAAGTTGCCACATAATTCAAGCCTGAATCACAGGGCACAAAACTGAGTCTGCACAGGCTGAAACTTTTATGCCTGTTGCACATCTGGCCACACCCCAGTCAGTGATGTCGCAACCCTCGTCTTTCATTAGCTGTTAATGAAGACCACCTTCTGTGACATCATTAAGTGGGGCGTGGCCAGAGGTGCAAGATCCTTAAGTGTTTTAATGCAAGTAAGTTTTCTGCTCTAATTAATAATTGATTTACTAACTGCTGTCAGTTGAACTGTGATTGTTTCGTTTGCTGGTTTTAACCTAGTGTGTGGTCTGTGAGTCAAAATGACCGGAGAAGATGAATAACGTGTTTACATGAATTTTAATCCCAGGTCAAGGAACCACGCTTTCTCATTTGGTCCCTGGGCTTTCTATGATACCTTTTGTTTATGTTGTAAATTAACAAACACTTCAATTCTGAATAAGTTATGTTTTCATGATAAAAAATGTAAACTATTGTGTTTCTGTATGTTTTCGTTTTATGCTGCTTCTTTAAATGGCAAAAAAATCTTCAATAAAAATGAATTTACATTTGTGAGTACTGTTATAATGGCAACATATTATATACACACATTATTTATTGTCTGTATTTATTATTCTCACAACACTTAGCTAACATCTGAGAAGCTATAGCAACCCCTGAAGAGCAGTAAAAGTTCCCCCAGAGAAAAATAAAGTGCTCAATCATTTCCCAACAGTGTGTCACCAATGTAACGTGAAGCTATCAGAAACCCTTTGCGAAGCACGGCCTCTCGTGGAGTAGTTCATATCTTTATTTCCACTTCTTGGGGCCCCTCGGCTCCGGGTACCCCTCGGCCAGCAGCTGACCGACCACCGTGGAGCTCCTCCACTCCCCGCGGTCTCCCAGCCCTCCTCCGCAGAGGAGGGGCCACTCACTCACTCCAGCCAACTTCGGGAGAAAATGTCTGGAATTCCGTTTCCGCTTTAGGGAGTGGACGGTGATTTTTTTTGATTTTTTACTTGACTTCCCAACCAACTTTCATTTCCACGTCAACTCGGACAGTTTTGTGTGAACTGTCCCGGATTAAATTATCGTTACGACGATGGCTTCTTCGCCTCAGAAGTCTCCGTCCTCTCCGAAATCTCCGACGCCCAAATCCCCGTCTTCCAGAAAGAAAGATGACTCTTTCCTGGGAAAACTTGGTGGAACTTTGGCAAGAAGGAAAAAGGCTAAAGAAGGTAAACAGCTAGCAAAATAACGAGCCAGAAACGAGCAGGACCGCAGTCAACTCGTTGTATTACATTGTTTTTAGAAGTTCAGATTAAATGATTGAGTTATAAACATATTTACATCATAACATAGCATTAGCCAACCCCGCAGTGTGGGAATAACGACCTCAAACTCAACATTACTACGCACCTACATTTCAGGGAGCTGACACGTTTAACTCTGACTATCCTTTTAATTCTCTGAATGTACATTTCTCACCAAGAAACAGCAGAAATTACAACGTGTGCTTGCTTGTGTGTGTGTTTTCGTGGCCGCGGGCTGTGTCTGCATCCATGTAAGGTATTGAATCCGCTACTACTGTAATACGTGAGGAATGAGGCACGAGTAAACACAGGCCCGTCACAGACCGAGCCTCCACCACCAGCCTCCCCTCGGCCCATAGGTGCTGTGGGAACATGGTGCTGTTCCTCATGGGGAAAGCTTGCGAGGCTGAGGTCAGACACAGGACAGCAGCTCTGGGTTTATCTCACCTTCCTTGATAATAGCTATCAACCTTGCTGTGTTGGGCTTTAACTACCAATAAATAAGAATGCTCCAAAAACTCTTTTTAAATGTCCTGCTCAGTTTATAGCTGTGTAAATACAGTAAGGGCTTCAGAGAGCTTGACATTCATTGTTACAGGCCAGGTTTTATCATCAATGAGAAAGGTCTCTTTCAATTGGATGATTACTTTGTGTCATTCAGGATACTGTTGCACAGCTGAGCCCCACTTTATGTTGCCTTTGTCTACAAGACATGCATGCAATCACATTATATTCATGCTGGCTCCTGTTCACCACACACACACACACACACAGAGTGCAGGATGTCTGCAGTGTCTTCCATGATTTGATGGAAAACGTGGGCTGGTCGCTCTTGTGTTGATCATTGATTAAATTTAAGTCCCTGTGACGTTTATGGCAGTGGCTGCGTGTGCCGGGGAGAGAGGGGCCACTGGCTTGAACGGGAGTAACGACAGGATGAAAAAGAAAAAAGGAGAAGGGGGTAAAGGATGAGAAAGAGGGGCTGCAGCATGGGGATGAGATGGTATGAAAAGAGGAGAGAAGGTCAGAGGGTTTGAGAGCATTAGCGAGGGCTGTGCGTTGCATGCAGGCGGACACCAACTGTGTGCAGCTTGAGCAGTGCAAACAGATAGTACAGCACATAAAACAGGAGAGGTAATATATAATTCCATTCCTCTGTGAAAATAGAGCAAATTTATACCGGGGGGTCAGGTGTTACATTAGAGACGTGTGAGCTCAGCCTGTGGAGGATGAGCTGCACGGGAGAGAGCTCGTCCTGCTAGCCAGGAGAGGATGCTTGAGACTGGGGGACGGAGACAGACAGACATGGGCTGTGGAGCGCTCTGCCCTCCAGGTAGGACACAACATCAGCATGAATTCTTTCCTCACACGTAGGGATCACACAGGAGGCATTGTTCCGAGTGATCCGTCCGTTTTTATTGTTATCCTTATTTAACCAAGTGGATAGAAACATTTACTGATTTTATGACACTGGCCCAGATGGGGAGGAGTGAGGATACTGAGGACGCCTCTGCTTATACTGACAGCAAATCAGATGTGCACTGCACATATACAGTGTGTTAATAGAAGTGAGCAAGTGGTGTTTAACATTGGAAAAAAAATCCTAGCAGACCCGTGTGATACACCAGTATGGAAGCACAGCTGGTAAGTGAGAAGACTGAAGTAATACCATGGTCATCTCACCTTCACCCTAAGCTTCTATATACTTCCTCATCCTCAAATAGCACAAGTGATAATTACAGTAACATCAGAGTGTGCTAATTGGTATGGTGTTTTTATATTCAGCCATACCCCCACGAGTCTGTAAATTCCCAGCCACTCACAGCAGCTATAAGTGTTTTTGAACTCCCCTTAATGCACATATTCGACTGAAACCACAATCCATTTTTTCTTCTGTCCACAAAACGATATCTAGTTGTACTGAGGTATCTCATAACCTAAGATGACTCCAAAGGTTAAACATATATTCTCCCAGATATATTATTCCCATGACCAGAAGATGTGGGAATGATTGGCATGTATGTGCCTATGCAGTGTTATGTGCAACACTGCTGTTTGAACATTAGGTTGTTTATTTTTAGTGTGAGGAAAAACACATTTTTCTAACCAAATTTTATCAATTTCCAAGAATTAAAAGGTGCGTGCTGTGTTACATAGAATGAATCAGTGTATTAGTTGTTAGAGTTCCTAATTGATTCTTGAATTAGTCATTGTATTTGCTCAATCACTGGGGAGCCCTCCTAACACAGATCTTATTTTTATTTTCTTCACATAGTAATCTGTGACTTGTAAATATAAATAGATAGTAGTTTTCAAGATCAAATTCTTTCTTCAATTTATTTAAACCAGAGATCTCAAACTGCCGGCCCCTTTAAGAGGAATTTCCAGCCCTCCAGCACCCTCCCTCTGGCCCACCACATTGTTTCTAGTTGTTTCATATCAAGTTAAACTACCTACTACATATACAATTAAAATAAAAAGACAATTTTAATGGCAAATGTATTCAAAGGGTTAATAAGAAGAGAGGAGCAGGTGTTGTGCCTTCAGTTGTTGCTGGGCTGCTATACAGAGACGATATAAAAATGTTTGGAAACTGCTGCACTTTTTTAGTATCATGTTAGTAATGCAAATTCAAAAATATTACACCTTCTTGTAGTATTTGAGCAGTGAAGTGGCCCTCCTATGAGATGACAATACCAGCGGGGGCCAGTTTGAGTCTGAGGCCCCATCATACCAATCTGATATCAGTGATTCTTGGTTAGAATTTGGGGCCCAAGAATGTCAATTTGAATCTATATGACCAGTTTCTTATGATGACGAATAGCTAGTATTACAAATTTTAGATAAATATTGCTTATAGTGTCAGTTTGGAGACATTATAATCCTTCTTTACTTGTACTACTGCCACACTTGTTTTAGCATGACACAGTTTAATATTTCAAAATAATCAAAAGTAAAACAAGAAGTAAACACGCTTTGTTTATTGACATGTTTATCTGTGACAACATGTAAGTTTAACATTTCATTTGTAAGAGGAAGAATATGCTATTTGTTTTCTCAGAAATGATATAGTCTCAATTTAAATTCAAATTTAGTCTCTGGAAACCCTGTTGGGATAGACTTAAATAAGTACCACTCCAATCCACTTTATTTATATAGCACGATTTTAAGAAACACAAGGTTTCCAAAGTGCTGCACAAAAAGACCACATTCATGCATACTTCATCTGAAGGTTTTAGTCAGCTGTACTCTTTCAGTTTTGTCTTTTATTTTTACTAATCATGTAAGATCCTGTCAAGATATTTTAATGGAGTTTAAGGTTCATGGTGTGGTTTGCACAGACTGTAACACTTTTCTATACGGCAAGCATTTGTATTTAAGGTACTATGGGATGACTGTTAAGTGGACCTTTCTGCCTGCTTGTGGTTTAATTGATTTCTAAAGTAAAACAAGTGGAAAGTAATGGCACTTGGATATAACTGTACTCACTGTTGATATTTGATACTTTCATTCTGTGAAAATAGTCCCCACAGTCATATTCTGCCACATGATTTTGACTTTTATTGTTAGAAAAAGGAAAGTTTAAGGCTGTCATGTACTTGAGTAGAACTAGTATTGTATCTAGTAGGTAGGATTAGTGGTGGATATGTCTGGTGAGTGGGGGGTAATCCACAGGATGAAAGGAGTGAGGCACGTGTCACTCTGTAGGAATATTCTCACACTCCTGTGTGATGTGATATGTATGTGCATGTGTATCTGTACATGCAAGCACTTGTGGACGGTGTTGATTAAGAGGATATTGTTCCAGTGAAGGCAGAGAAATGCACAGGATGTTCACTCCATGCTTTCAGCGCGCACACACACACAGACACACACACACACAGCTCAGCAGTGATCAAGCCTCCTCAGGTATCTGACACACTGAGAAGAATGTCATGCTGGGCTTCTATAAAGCCCGCTGACAAGCAGGAAGCAACAGCGGTCTGTGTTTGTCTGACGTCAAATGGCTCTCGACGGAGGGTCTGCTAATGGTTGTTTGTGGAATCAAGGGAACATTTAGGGAGTCGTCCAAACTACTGCTGAACACTGCAAGTGGTTATTACTCAGGAAGGTGTTCTGTCTTTGTCTCAGCTGATCTGCTCTTCATGTAGCAGTTATCCGATTGATTGGCATTTTAAGAGGCTTCAGAGGGAGACATGTCGTACAGCCTTATTCTGGCTACATCTGGCCACGTTTAGCTCGTGGTCGGCAAATGCACGTGGTATAATTTGGTTGCTTTACTTGTGTTTTTGCTTTTATTTTGTGCTATGTAAATAATCAGTCAATCATTTGGGTCATTCATCAGCTTCTCAAATTGGATATTGTTCTGCATTGAATATCATTGGGTTTTGGACGGTTGGTTGAGTAAAACCAGCAATATGAAGGTGTAATTTTGGGCTCCAAGAAATTGTGGTGGCCCTTTTTAGAAAAATAAAAAAAACTATGATTACTTGACACATTGATGATGAAAATAATGGTAAGTTGCAACCCTAATTGCGGTGAATAGGCATTGTATTATTTTATTTTGAGTAGATCCCACACACACTGTCCTGCTGCAATAAATACTCACTAGAGCACCAAATGTGTGTTAATCCGCAGTTGAAAATAGTCCCCAAAAAAAACACTATTTACTATTTACGTGCCCCACTTTATTACACCACCTGGTGTTTTTAAAAATGAAATAAATATTAGTGACACTGATTATATTAATTCAGTAGAAAAGAATGTGTTTAGGGCTGAATGCCACACACAGGGTAGGGGAGTCAGACAAATATAAGTGACAGGTTAATGTATTGTTTGTATGTATGGGATTTTTTTGGACAATTAGAAACATCTGGAATAATGCCAGTCTTAGGATTTAAAAGTTGGTTATGTATTTGCATTTATAATACAAAGAGAAGAAGGTGAACCTGACAGGAAAGGTCAACAACATTTCCAGGAGTGTCCTCATGGCGTGCCTGACATGTTTGTACCTCTTCCTTGCAGTGTCTGAGCTTCAGGAAGAGGGGATAAATGCCATCAACCTTCCTCTCAGCCCTTCCCACTATGAGCTGGACCCTGAGGACACCATGCTAGGTAAGCAACCTTACTCACAGTTTCTGTAACACACTTTTGCTTAAAGGTCATGTGGCAATATTTTATTCTCATTTATTCCTTCTTTAAACAATAGAACTGGTATTCAGAAAATATTTTACACATATTTGCTCCTTCAGTAAAACACACTGGTCATATGTATGTAAACTATATGAGCTTGCTGCAGATTTGCCAGCAACGCCAACTAGAGTGTTGGAGTGAAATAGCAACTCCCACAAGGTTGAGAGTACAGCATTGTGGGCTCAACGAAGGTTGTGGACAGTGCATACGAGTCACCTGAAGAGATAGAGTGTGGACAGGTGCAGTAGGCATGCTGAGACCTTAATGTGCTCAAACAGGAGTGGAGATGGGAGGCTCTTCCAGCTCTGGCTTCTGGCAGTGTGTTGTCTGCTGTACCACTATGAGCTCGGCTAATCTGACAAACACCTTTTAGCCAGCAGTCAACAAACGGACACACTGCCAAGGCTTTCTGGGGGGAACTCGCTTTTGATTTCGAGTTCCACGTGTGCCAAGACACAGATTGGTGCTAGACTGTATTAAACCATTATGCTACTCTTCCTCGGTTTAGAATAAAATGTTCATGCTCAGCTCTAATACCCTGTTTCTGCTCATCCATTAGAGGAGAATGAAGTGCGCACCATGGTGGACCCCAACTCCAAGAATGACCGCAAACTGCAGGAGCTCATGAAGGTAAGGTTTTAATGATTTAATCTCCCATTTACCTTGGATATACAGTCATATACAGTTGTATAGTGCTGTGTCTCCTAATAACTTACAACAAAGTCAGTAAAAATAAGGAGCCAATAATTTGTGTGACAAGTGTAAAGGTACGGCTCAGTGTTCCCATTTAGGTTTTGTGAGTAATCAAGCACAGGTTATCACACATATCACTCCATCCATACTTTAAAACCTGGGGTGGCAGCATGGTGCCATGGAGCAGGCATCAGCTGCAGGGAAAAGCACACACGTAAGGATCGGCAAGCAATCACTGGAGTCAAACAGGCAAATTCTTAAGGAGAACTTTTGTTAGGCTACCAAAGGCCTCAGATTGGGGAAACGATTTATGTCCCTGCAGGACAGCTTTCCTCAGCATATTGCCTAATCAACACTGGTCTGACTTCAAAAAAGTCACAACCCCAAAACTCAAATTCCCCTGAAAATCTGTGAAATGACTTGAAACTAGCAGTTCTTGGGCATGCTGCTCGACCAAGCCTGAGTACATTTGCAAGAAACAGCCCTAAAAATAAAACCAGGTGGTCAGTACAGACCATACAAGTAAATCTACAGCTACATTTGCTAACATTTATGTGGTTTCCGTATGTAACCGGCACATTGAATGAATTACTTCTTAAGAAATTCCTGTTACAATATCATCATACCAAAAAAACATAATTTGTCTTTATATGTCTTTGCCACTATAATGTTGTAGTCAATGCCGCAGTGATTCAGTGTGTAGGGACTTGGCTTGGGAACCAGAGGGTCGCCGGTTCAAGCCCCACAGACCACAGTACGGAGTGTGGACTAGTAGCTGGAGTGGGCTAGTGTGTGGACTAGTACCTGAGCAAGGCACCTAACCCCTAACTGCTCCCCGGGCGCTTAGGCTGCCCACTGCTCCTATGTATATAATGTATATAGGATGGGTCAAATGCAGAGGCCAAGTTTCATTTCATGTATGTAAAAGTGCTGTAAATGGTGTGTGTGTGTGTGTGTATGTATATATATATATATATATATATATATATATATATATATATATATATATATACTGTGAATATGACAATAAAAAGGCTTTCTTATTCTGCCCATGTAGGTGTTGATCGACTGGATAAATGATGTTCTTGTGGGGGAGAGGATCATTGTGAAGGATCTGGCAGAAGATCTGTATGATGGACAGGTCCTGCAGAAACTATTTGGTAAGGAGTTGACCCATACATGTGGATTAAATGCCACTGAGACAGGAAACTGAACTTTGCATTATATATCATAGTTTTACAAAGAGGTAATTGTAATCAAAAGGTGCCTTTGCCTTAATTATCTTGACATTAAATCTGTGTTGAATTGATGGTTTCAGTTCTGATGGAAAAATTGTATTTGTTGTATTATACATATATCGAACTTATCATTCAATATTCATTTGTCTGTGTCTCTGCCTGTGTCTTGTGCTTCAGAAAAGCTGGAAGGTGAGAAACTGAACGTGGCAGAGGTGACCCAGTCAGAGATCGCCCAGAAACAGAAGCTGCAGACTGTTTTGGAACGGATCAATGACTCGCTTAAACTCTCCACCAGGAACATCCGCTGGAATGTTGACTGTAAGGAGTGTTTCTAATATTTTAGTTATTTCTTTGTCAATGCAACTATAATGTTGTAGTCTATGCCTGCTTTTATGAATTTCACATTCTCGTTTTTCTTTAACGCAGTTTTCAATTTAGGTTGGCAGCTGTATATGTTTATATAACCTATATATATAATCCTGTTTTAATTCATTTTAGTACTGTTTTCTTCTGCAATGAGCCAGTCTCTCCACAGGGAACATACAGTTTTGGTACTATTGCAATGTACTGTCATCAGTCACTGTGTACTATCTATCTGCTGAAAACTTGAATGGCTTTGAGGCTACAGTGAGGTGCGTTACATTGTGCTACTGTAGAAGAACTTATTGTGTGAAGTCAGTGAAAGAATACACTGCAACACAACTGATCTATCCATGAGTTCAGTGTGATGATATTCAAATGTGGGGTCTGGCTATATGACAATCCTCCAAGCGGTCCAAATCTCCTGTGCTAGTCTGGCCAGAGTCAGGACCGCTAGCTGCACGGCTAAATTAGCTAATTTGCTAAAGAAAGGCAAATCCCAGTTATTTTCTCTATAAAATATTATCCGGTTTCACCAAAATCTCTAAATAAAGTTATGAAGATGTGTTTGTACAGGGATCAGTGAGGCTCGGCCCTCAGAGACACTTCACTCCAGCAGCTTCTTTTTCCAACCTAAGTCTCATTTGTAGTTTGTCATCTGTAGCACTTCATGGCACCAGCATGATGTGGAATAGGTTGAAAAAACAATAGACACGCACTGAGAATACAGAGCTAGCATCTTCTTACCCATAGTTGGTGGTGTGTGACATAGCACCGTAATGCTACCACACTTCCTGCAGCAGAGTTGCATAGTGCAAGAACAGGAATTCTGGGAGCAGAGTGAAAATGAAAGATGCACTAAAACTCGTATTTTAAGGTAACTAGTTGCATAATGTTGCTTTAAAGCAGCTCATCAGTCCTGTGTGTCATTTCTTCCTTTCAAACCATCTAGTTAGCAGTAGTGTTAGTCCTTGAGATGCATAATGGTGCAAACGCTGTGTGTGTGTGTGTGTGTGCGCGCTGTGTGCCGTGTTACAATATAATGTATGAGAGCCAGAAATTGAGAGTGTATTCATTAATCACCACACTTTCTGATCTATATTCCACTTCATCCAGCCCTGATGCCCTTTGCGAGCTGCACATACATGAACCAAAGTGGCAAGTGCAGTTGGAGACGCCCACACAGTCAGTGTGATGAAAATATTGCCCTTAGACTGATTTTGATGATATTTGTTTAAAATAATTATTCATTTTCAATTTAGATATAGTTCCCTTTATGCTACAAGAAAATTGATTGATTTGATTAGTGAGTCATAAGAATACAAAAAATTTGTATGATGAATTTTTGAGAAAGAATCAAAGTCTCACAGCCGGAGGGAAGAAGCTGTCTTTAAGTCTGGTGGGTACGGCAACAGAAACTTCTATACCTCTTTCCAGATAGCAGCAGGGAACAGGCTGCGGCCGGGGTGGGTGCTGTCTTTTATTATCCTTTTGGCTCTGTGCAGGCACTTCATATAATAATAATCATAGGTTTTAGTGACATCTATCCTTAATATCTCACTGAAGAATTACGAATCAAGCTCCTAGCGTGACGTTCATTGTTCCCCTCATGCATGAAGAGTGCTAGCTGCATGCCAGGTTGTTTCAGACCTCCACTTAAAAGATTTATGTCCGAATGTATTTGCCTTGCCATTGGATTAATAAGCTCCTTATTGAGATGGAAGCTTTCAGATTGAAAACAACAGCGAATGTAGCTATGCATGTCAATAGAGTTCTCCACGTCTCCTTTGATGGCACTCTTTTATCTGACACCGGGAGTAATGATAATTACTATCAGGCTCCCGGCAAACTGCCTTTTACTTTCATTAGCTCTAACATATATATGAGATATAAGAGAGATAGGAAAGAGAAAATGGATGTGGGGCATGTGGCTATAGAACACATTACTGTATGAGCAAGGCCAAAATACATGACATGACGGAGACAAAGGGAAAAGCTTTAAGATAAAAAACAGAATAGATTGAGTGAAGGTAGTGCACTAGAGAAAAGCCATATTTCAGACCAAATAACATGACATTCCTAAATACGCCCCTGGTTGAAGTTTGGCCTTGAAAGTTATTCGCACAAGATATCTTAAATGCTAAAGAGCACAGTGAAAAACATGGAATGTAATTGATTTCCCAGTCCCTTTATTTGTGGAGTTCTCTTTTAATCAATCCACTTTTGTTTGTTCCTACTTTCATCCTCCATTCTAAAGCCTTAGAATAACTTATTTGGATCCTCTTATGCAGCGAGGATCTAATAGGTTTTATGAAGGCTTTTAGCTTGCTCTCTGTGATTTGCCATTGCCATGAGGTATAATCAAAGGCTTGCTTTAGACACTTAATTGATCCTGATTGTTTTGTGTATCCAAAGGTAAATCCTATTTGTTCGGATGACTAAAGACATGCTGCACAGTATGTCTGACTGAACAGGCTACTTATGGTTGACCTACGCTGCAGACAGAGTTTAGAGTTGTCGTTTCTTTTCTGTGCAGCAACTTGTATTTTTGTGACGTTTTTTAATATCGCTTCAAGGCAACTTTTGGCATCTTGTGCTTGTATTTACCAATAAAGGTATGTGACCTAGCCACGTAAAACTTTTAATTCTAAATTCCTGGAAGGATGAAAAATAATAGAAAATATGTGGCTTGGGTTTTGGCGGCCCAGTGCATTACAGCGAGGAATCCACACTTAATTTAAAAAAAATACAAAAGATTATGAAAATGTTTAGAAACAGCAGTAAGTGTCTTGCATGTCTACCTGTTAAGTGAAGATGACAACATCTTTGTCATTTTTCCTAAGAAATTGAGACATTTAAAGGGGAATTTGGCAACTATTTCAACTTATTAAACCCGTTTAGAAATCATTTGGAAGGTTAAATGGCCTGTTCCGGTGTTAATGGTGACTTTCCTCGATCCCCCTAGCGTCCCCAGGCGGAAAACCAACCTTGCAACTTTGGGACTACTGTCCCATTAAGTTGGAAATAGGAAGTATCGTGAGAAGCGAGAACGAGCGAGAAACACAAACTGCTTTACGGCAATTCCACATAAACGCACACGCCCCCCTCAATACCGGTTAGCCACGCCCGCTATAAGAACAAGCGACGATGAATGTATTACCCACCTCGATAGACATTGCTCCACACGAAAAAGTTGCCCGGCAACAAATGCACATCAGCAGCGGTAGAAAGGGGGAGGAGGGTGCTGCAAGTGGGTTTTTTTACGACAGTTTTGTGAAATATACGTTCCAGAGCTGTAGGGGGCGCTCGTTGAGAAAACATGCAACGACAAAAGTGGAAACCAGCGCAGAAATGGCTAGAGTTGCCAAGTTCCCCTTTAAGATTAGATTTATAGCAAAATCAGTAATACTGAATGCAAATACTGTATATACTTGATATACAAATAGAACAAACATAAGCAAATCCAGAAAGGTAGTAAATAAATATCAACAGATAGTGGCTTTAAATGTACGTGGAAAGGCAAATAATGTTCATTTATTTCACATCTACAGTATGTCAACTACTTGCATCACTTTGTACCATAACTAATCATTTTCTGTTATTTTCTTCTTCTTCTTTTCCTCACGTTAGCGGTTCATGCTAAGAGTATCGTTGCCATCCTGCACCTGCTGGTGGCGCTGTCACAACACTTCAGAGCACCAATCAGATTGCCAGACCACGTTTCCATTCAAGTAGTGGTCGTCCAGGTGGGTGTAACACTGTGTTTGAAGGCTTTCTAGTTATGAATATACAGTATGTGTCTGTTTACTTGCATAACCATAATCATCTTTGTTGTGGATGTCGGTTTTAGGACACCACCCTCCCCTGCCGTGAATTCCTCTTTTTCACCAGGCAGTCATATTCAGTAAAATGTATACATACTGTCATTTATTTATGTCTTTCAGAAAAGAGAGGGCATCCTTCAGTCCAGACAAATCCAAGAGGAAATCACTGGCAACACAGAGTAAGTACACTCTGCTTTCAGACTCTTTTTTTACACCTTTTTTTACACCTCACAACACGTGTGTAGCATTTGGAGGCAGTGTTGACATACATTAGTGCTGCTGTTAGTATTACACTGACAGAATAGTTTCTACATTGACAAAAAGGCTCTTTGGATTTAATGCTATTTTAGAGTTTTCTGGTTTTTTTTTCTAACATCTTTTGCTTTTACCCCAATTGTAATGGTGTGCATTTGCTTTACTTATCTAACTATCAGGTAGGGACACTTCTATAAAGTACAGGAAGGGACTCGTGTAGCAATCTCTCTTAAATATGTAAACATCTTAGTATCAAAGTTCAAGTTTAGAATAGATTCTTCAAGCATACATTTTCTGTTTTGTCAGTTGGAATCAACATGCTTGTTTATTATCAGCATTTATTGCTTATTGTATTGTGGAGGGACATAAACTAACTGCAGCACCAAAATATACTTACATGCCTACATTTCAGCATTTAACAGCAAACTTTACCAATTTTACACTACTGCCTATGTGAAAGAAGCTTTATAAAGTCTTGCGTGGCTCCAGAGGGAGCTGTGTGAAGTCACAGTACAAGCTGTCTTGTGGTGTGGAGTTAGAAAGAAGTGAGCTTACCAGAGCTCTGTAGCCTGCTCCTCATCTCTGCTCGAGGCTACTGGCTCCAGGCTACATTAGCCACTGCTAGCATGGCACACCCAAATCTCCGACCCAGCTGTCAACTGTCGAGATGCATTGTGGGTAATATAGGCACCCCGTTTTGATAAGGAAGAAGAATGAGACGAAAGAAGGAAGAAGATGATCTCTGGTTCTGCTGTGTCATTTTGAATCGACTGTGTTACAGAAAGCAATGCTAAATAGAATTAACTGAAAGGAAGGACTCTAATGGTCAAAAGCAGAGGACAATCCTAGAATTTATAATTCTCCTTTACCACAAATGTCCATATATGCCTAGAATAAAAACCTTTAATGGCAGATACAACAGTGTGACCGATTTTTGGGTCTGCCCCCTCTAAAATATGCAGCCAACAAAGGTATAGCGTTGGGTGGACTGAACGCTTGTTGATGAAGATTTACCCCAGCTTCATTACGAGTTTCCGCCCACAGCCTCAAACAGATTAAGAAGTGACCAGAATTCAGTGAATTTGAAGAACCTGAAACTGTGTCAGTTTTACTAATCACAATACCCTAATGCCAACAACCTAAAAACCAAAAAGAAAAAAAGGTGAGAGAACAAATCCAAGCAAGCATTCAGTGCCTCCTTTTGGAGCTTGACAGTTTTTGATATTGGATGGAACAGACACAGTTTGGTCAGTTTTATACCGAACCTTAAACACAGCCAGTCAGTAGAATGATAGAGTGGTGGGAGCTTGAATATAGATTCTTGTTGTTATCTGCAAACAGATCTGTACAGCCCACCGCACTTTAAATAGACTTTTACAAGAAATGTTGTGCCATGGCATATAAACAACTATTGTATTTCAACAAGACATGTGATGGCACCCTTAGCTGAAGAATTAGACAATTCATACACACACACTTTTTTTTTTCTCCCTGTGAGGCTGTCCTGCAGCCTGACGGCAGCAACGAGGGAGATAACAGCAGGCCAGCACACACAAGCATACACATTTTGTCACGGTAGATAGGTACACTGTTAATAACACACACACACACACACACACACAGGCTCACACACACTCACACGGTCACAGTGGAAATACGGTTATTACCACACCACCAGGACCGTTGCCCAGTCCTGCCTCCCTTTGCCATCACAGATTACACCATGAACATGTGTGAGGGCTTCAGTCTGTGTGTGTGAGTGTGTGCCTGCCATTTCTTGCTGGCCTGCCCGCTGCGATATCTCTTCCTCGGGGACACTCACACCGCAGCGCTCCCTACCCTCCAAAACCACCTGACCCCTTCCAACAGTAACATCCTCCAAAGTGCTAACATTGTAATAATAGACAAGAGAGGCCCTTCATTCCCATAGAAAAGCTGCATGTACAGAAAGGCACGTTTTCATTCATTGTATCAGTACCCAACAGTATTGTTGTGCCGTTGAGATTATTGCATTGTGCTATAGTATGTGGTCACTGTGAACGTCCCGGTGATGATACCCAAGTTATTTAAATACCCGAGGTGTACCTGTGTTTATTGTTAATCAAATTATGATACCCTAGCTACGTTATTGTGTTGTCATTTCTGTGACATAATCCCTCCATTCTCTACATTCCTCTGTGATTGAGCTGGAAGCACTTGTTTTATATGAATATTCAAGTGTGAAATTGTCAATAACTGATTTGTGTGTTTGACATATTTTGTTTGTTTTTTTCCTCGATTTCTGTCCCCTCTCTCTCAGGGCGTTCTCTGGCAGACATGGTATGTTGTGTATTGAACAATATTTTCTTCAGGAATGTTCACACATGATTGTCCCTGTTTTTGGTGATTTTCTTCATTTTTCTTCACAGAGCGTGACGCTTTCGACACCCTGTTTGACCACGCTCCAGATAAACTGAATGTTGTCAAAAAGGTATGGAGGCTCTGCAGTGACAATCCCAAGGTTATCGGCCAGGCATGATGGACGGATGGCAAATAACATTTAAATGCATGCAATACTAGTCTGTGTGTATTTAACCCCAAACAGTGCTTTTTACTCCTGTCCATGGTCCAGGTTTTACTCTGCACAGTTATCTAGCTAACTCCATTGACCCTGATTAATGAGGCAGAAAATACATACCTGAAAAGACTGTTGTGGTGTGGGTATAGATCAGTTCACCATTGTTTTAAGTGTAAATAATCTGATCAGAGTTGTTCCCTTATTTGGCCTGCTGTGATTTTGTAAACAGTCTTGTCTTCAGTAATCTCTACTCCAAGTCTACAAGTCTGGGACTTGATGTAATCGAAAAGCAATGAAGCAAAGAGTATTTTTTGTCTTTGTTAGCAGCTCTCTAATCTAGTAAAACAATAAGCAGTTACTAGATACTGACATTCGATTCTTGAGTGTGAAAGTTCATTCTTGCTTTTGGAGTACAACAACAAAAGAAATCTTAACTCAAGGCCCTCTTACTAGCTTTTTTACTGGCACTTTTAATCCCATCTAATGGTCTTTGGATGGAGTTTGCTTAGTTTTCATGGAGTTAATTGGACTCAACAACTGAGCAAACTACCAATTTTATAAATCATGAGGACAGCTGCAGTGGTTGAGGACCTCCAATATGGCTGCCAGAGGCCAAGGTGTTTTAACTGCCCTGTGTTTGTGTGTGTCTACAAGGTGTGTGTAGATTGGTGTATACAAATTGTTGACATTCCCTGACATTTCCTTTGTGTTTTCTCAGACATTGATCACATTTGTGAACAAACACCTGAACAAGCTCAACCTAGAGGTGTCTGAATTAGACACACAGGTACGTCACACACCTACATACATCAGTTACAGAGGACCCCTCAGCATATGTCTGTTTACCTGAGATTGCTTCTGTCTCAGTTTGCAGACGGTGTTTATCTGGTGTTGCTGATGGGGCTGTTGGAGGGATACTTTGTGCCACTCTACAACTTCTTCCTCACACCAGAGAATTTTGACCAAAAGGTAAAGTGTGATTTATTTTTTTATTGGTCCTTATCCATCAGTGAGCTGGGCTGTTACAGGAATACTCCACCAAAACCTGTATTTGAACTATCAAACAATCACTGGCTGTTGGCTTGAAAGGTTCTGAAACGTCTGTAGTGTGTGCCATCATGGAGGACAGCAGCTGTGGTCTTCTCACTTCACTACTTGTCTCATGTGGTCACTATGTTCAAAATATAGCTGAATGCGCAGTTTCAGTCTACAGCTTGTGCGGCTAGCTGTTTACTGTTGTTGCACAAGCGTAAACTGGTACTCATGCTGGCAACAAACACAGCCCTCCAACTCCCAAGACACAGTACACAAAACCAAACAAGTCCATGTTAAACAACATTTGTTGTAAATTATACTCTAAAGGACAGTATAAAATGAAATGATTTTCATGCTCCACCTCAGTGCCCAACTTTAGGCAAATTATACCCAACATATTTTTCACATTTGTAGTCTTTCTTGAAGTTCTCAGTTTTGGTATTTACCAGATTTATCAGATTAAAGTGGTGATTTGGTTGTGTTAATGTCCTTTGTGTGAACAGTGAAGGAATCATAGCCCTCTTTATCCTGCTAGTGCCTTTAAATGAAAGCTGAAAGTCAGCACTTTAACCTCATTCTCATTGCTTCATTCCTAATCCCTGAGAACAGAGCCAAAACAAATTTCTGAATGCTGATGCTCTGCACTGTATATCTTCATTGCTGATTGATTGACTTTTCTATTGTTATTCCCTACAAATAAAGAAAGCAAATTGAACTTTTTTAAGTGGCCCTGGTTCACTTGTAACTGGTTAGCAAGAATTTGACAAAATGTACAAATGCAACTATTTCTCTACCGTAATGTGGATGCTCCACCATATTGATGTATCCAATCTTTTCTCTTCGAGGTCCCTGAGAAACAGGGCCATGACCCATATTTGGACCTGACCTATAGTTTAAGAAACACTCTTAAATCAATACTCCATTTCTGAGGAGCCTCATGCACTCGGAGCCAGGACTCTCCTCTCAATAGCCTGATAAATGCCATCCGTTTTCCCCAGAGCCCATTCAGTGCAGTGCCATCTCTCCTCTCCATTGGCCTCTGTAGTACTACGGTATTCTGAACAGGCAATCTGCAGAGACACCACAGTAGCCTTTTGTTTGGGTCTTGGCCAGCGGCCCCTGCCAAGCTGCGCAGCAGAATGGGCATCAGTGCTACAATGTACACAACTACACACACACAGACACTCCTGGCCTGGAAGAAGGCACCAGCCCCATAGCATCTGTAATCTCCTTTTGCACAGGGAAACACTGGAGTGGCTTAGGGGCTCAGCTCTATTACACTGTGTGTGTGTGTGTGTGTGTGTGTGTGTGTGTGTGTGTGTGTGTGTGTATATATATATATATATATATATATATATATATATATAGTGCCTAGAGGCCTATCGATGATACAGCGAGGGTGGGCTGTGAAAAGGCATCAAGAAAGCACTGCTGCTTCTGCTCAGTAGATCTCTACTTAAGGCTCATTCTCTTCCTTTCTTTTTGACTGTATTAGATGTCTAAGGTCACACTTTTCTCACAATAAGCCCTTGTTGGGCAAAGCTTTTAGTACATCACAGCAGGGCGAGCGCACACACACACACACACACACACACACACACACACACACACACACACACACACAGATACAATGGGCAGAGAATAGAAAACATCTTTCAAGTCTATCTACCTCCTCTCTGATTTGTTTTCCTCCTCTCTCTCTTCATGTTCATATTGCTCACGAGTCAGATTGGCTTAGACGTCTTTGCTGGTTTCCTCAACCTAACTGTGTGTCCGCTCGTCTAAATACAGATTGCAAATCAAAATAATTACATCTCTTAATGGTCCACCTGAGAAAGATTCAGGGTCTATGTTTTGAATAAACGTCAGCCCTGCATTTTGGCATTATTCATCATGTCCACCATAATTGTCAGTTTCCAGGAAAATCCTTACTGTGTGTTTCTCCCTATTCCAGCTGCACCAAATATTATGATGTAATAATTGCTCTCTGCTCCGTTCTGTTCATTCTTTTTCTGCATGCAATCACATTGTACAAGTGTTACTTGAACACTTGTAATGACATGGAAAATCAATGACAGTTGTCACTTTCTTGGAGTTAGGAGGTTTTTGAGTGACACTGCTGACATGTATCTATTGATAAATGGGGGAGTGTTTGTGCAGCTGCTGAAGGCTTATGGTCTTACAGAACAGAGCCGGGTTGTGTTTGCAGACACAGGAAGCTGCGGTAGCACGATTGAATCGACCCAGAGTGTACTGTGGGATTTAGCAACCAGAGTCTATGTTCCCTTATCAGCGAGGAGCTGTGTGTGGAGTTGCATGATTTGTACTTGCCAACCTCTGCCTGTATGTGTACATTTTATTCTGTTGTACTTCCTGAAGTCCTAACAGTCTTGTCACTCTCTCTGCAGGTCCACAACGTCTCCTTCTCTTTTGAACTGATGCAGGATGGAGGTCTGGAGAGACCAAAGCCCCGACCAGAGGGTAGGATGCACATTTAACTAGGGCTGTTATGGGTATCTCCGTTACTGAATTTGTTCCATACCCACCTAAATGTTGATTAAAAACGTAGCTCCCACATTTAAATAACAGGCTCACCTTATTATTAATTAGCTATTTGATCCAAATGCTGAAGGTCCTGATTCCAAACTATAAAGTTATTTAAGTTAAATAAGCTTAAAGACCCCCTCCAGACATGTATTAAGACGTATATACAAATAATCAGCTTGGAACAATAATGTGTGTAAGGATAATTTCCACATTAAGGAGGAATCTACTGTTTCTGCATCATTAAAAATGTTCAGAATCTATGAATATGCAAATGATGTCACCCTGATCTTTGCTAATAAGAGAGAAAGTAGAGATCACAGCTTTGTTATTGTTGAGCTTAGTGGATTTTGCCAACACAGGTGTTATAACAGTGTATGTGATCAATGCAAACAGATCATTTTTCACAGTCACTCACATATGGGCCAGAATGCTCCCAGTGTACGGGCCGGTTGTCATTAAGGAGAGCTTTGCCAATCTCAATATGCTTTTCATATATTTGGCAAAAAACGTTAACTTGTTCGCTTTAACAAAGTTCTGGCTAACAGTATAAGGAACATGGACACCCATTCATTGTCAGATCTTAATTAAAGAATAGGTTTTCTAATTAGCGGAAACAAAAAATACTGCTTTTTATATTTAAAAAACAGCCACATCACTAATCATACACTGAAATCAAACACCCTCCATGACTGCAAAGGGCTGCGTATGTTTCGCTGTAAACTCCCCCAGTGCTTTAGTTATGGGTTTTGCCCTGTCTTAATATGCATGGAGGCTGTTTAAATGCTGCAGGGAGGAGTTGCTGTTTCCTACCAGACCTTCTCCTCCTTGAGCTGTGGTCAAACTGTGGTTCATATTGGAAGTATTAACGCTAGCGTAAGCCACACGTGTTGCACAATGCTTGCACACAGTCGCTGTTTTATCCACCACCTTTTCCCAGTTATGTCATAGGTAACGCTAAATGTGTATTGCTCCCATACAGCAGACTGAAACAATGCTGCCGGGTCCTCTGTCCACATTTCCAAGACAGACTGCTGCAAATGTGCCAACTGAGAAGTTTCAATGAGTTATATGCATGAAGCTGATTTCCCTATAATAACTTTTTTTTTTTGCTTGTGCCTTATTTAAAAATTCAAATGAACTGAACATTACCTGCTCGCCAAGACCCGTGACTAGCAGACAGAATGTTTTGGATTTTTTTTTTAACTTGAACTCCTATCCCTAGATGTAGAGGTCTCTACATTGAACACATTTATGCTTTGATTTTAACCAGTACACTGAATAGTGACAGGAACATTGCCATATATTTAATCATTTCTTCCCACTGAAGTTAGGAAATTCTTAGCAGAGTAAAGTAACTTGTAGGTCGAGTAGGGTTCATGGTTGAATAAGCTAAAGGTTCTGAAATATTTGCATTGTGTTGTGTCTCAAATGGATTTCCAGTAATCATATTTCAACAACCGTAGTACAACCTTATTTGCTAAAGTAAAATTTTCCCCATGGATACAGTTCCATTAAGCTCTAGAGAAGCAGGAATGTGGCAGCTGTAGTACAGTCTGCAGCTGTACAGACAAGGTCTAAACTCTCGCTGGATGTGTGTCTATATATAACTCTTCTATTCTCTCACTTTCTTTTTTCTTTTTTTTCAGATATAGTGAACTGTGACCTCAAATCGACACTGCGCGTCCTCTACAACCTCTTCACCAGGTACCGGAACGTTGACTGAGCACCACGTATAACAAGAGGGAACACTTTATACTATGGACCACATGTTAAAGCTTAACAATATGTTTTTCCTTCTATTTGTTGTAGAAATCTATTTTTATCTGAATGCATGCATCACATTTTGTCCCTGTACCACACACAAATCTTGTATTTTTATTTTATTTTTATTTCTGCAGAGACATTTGGCTTGTGTGCCACAAAATGCTTGATTTTTAAAAAATTGTAAATTGGGCATTGCTATACAGTCCTACAGACATCTATGAACTAAATAAGATAGCCATTAACTATTAATGTTTAGTTATGTCATAGAGGTAATTTTGTAATGATTTCTGTCACCCTGCATTGAAAGCATGAAGGGGAGATTGAACAACGCTTGTATCTTTTAATCCAGAAAAGAAAAAGTTGAACTGTATTTATTGTACATTTTGATACACTTGGTCTTACTTTTCCAAGCTATTTCATTTTCTTCTCTCTGCTCTTGATTATGTCATTCATACGTAAGTGCCTTTATTTAAACATGTGAACACCGTACACAGTCCCAGTACTTAATATCGGGATGCATGTGCTCCCCAGTTGTCTTAACGCTCCACATTTCCTTTGCATGTGTGGAGGAACATTTGAAATATTTGACCAAAGCTCTGTTGTATTCACACTGTAAAACACATAAAGGCTTTACTCAGCAGCCACTGGCTTTCTTGTGTTTTGTATTGTAACGTGTCTTATTTTTTTAATTGGGGTACATCAACATTCTATAATCAGCTTTCTGTGTTATAATACATTATATACATCATATTTTTAATACACATTTCACTCCTTTCTGCAAGACTAATTCATTTTGACTGAATATATTAAATGAACGCTGTGTTCTACTTTTAAGGCAGTTTCACTTCAAACAACAAATGCAGTAACTGTCAGCTGCCAACACGTTTGCTCTAATGCATCTATTTATGTTTTAATGTATTACATTCAATAAATCATTCAGTCCCTGAATGTGGCTGCATTTTTTTGCACCTCAAAGAAAGCAGAAAGGAATGCTTCTCCAACAAAACAAACATTGGGGTCAGATTTGGTCCAATTTTCCCTGCACAGCTAGACAAGTGAACCTCCACAACAATTTTCTTTTAGCTAAATGGAGATAGCTGTGTAAAAGCTCTCTGAATTGGAGCTGACCCCAACCCCAAAAATAGATAGGACAGTTATCGAATGGATGAAAAGGTTCGTTTTTTCTCACACATTCCACAATAGCTTTTGAAAAGAAAGGGTGGAAAATGGGTGTGTATATGCTGAGTGTGTGTGTGTTGATGTATTATTAATTATACAGTGGTATGGCAGTATTCTCTGCTGATACCCATGCACTTCGATTCACATGTTTTTCATTCTGAGTTGCAGTTAATTGTGTTTGTATTTTGTGTATGGTCCTTAACATATGAAATGACAGTTTGTAAACTCATGTAATTCAAGGTGAGCGCATTGTATAGGCTTTAATTTAATCTTCAGTCGACAGTTTGTGAGAGAGTGTTGAAGAGCCCTCCGATGTAAGCCTGAGCAGCAGCGTTGTTTTTGTGCAGCATTCAATTACACCTCCAAGAAATGCTCCAAACCTCCATAGTTTGGTATGTGAAGGGAGAAAAGATCTATAGGCACATAATACAGTATGTGTGTGTCAACTTAATGCCTGAAGCGCACTGTAACATTTGGTACGAGTAACAGTATCTGTGATGATTGCCCTCTCAGATGCTCTCATGTCAGCTGCAACAGATCCTGAGGGATGTGAAACCATGTTATGATCATTTCCTCTCCGCTCGCTCCCTCGCCCAGGGAACAATTCAGCTGCTCCAGTTATTACCTTGTTACATTATTGTTATTGCATTATTGTTACATTGTCGCTCTGTGCGTGGGTCACATGGGGACACAGAGCCGCATTCCTCTGATTGAAGACACCACAGTAATGGAGAAAGGGAGCGCTGCGTCACAGATGGGAATGTTTGTTCAAAAAGTTTCATCAGTCACAAGAGTAAGAGTAGATGTAATTACAGACTATTATGTAATGTTTTAGCTTAATAGCTCTGAAGCTGTCTGTGTTTAACAAGAGACCAAAGTTTTGGTACACTTACACACTTTATTACCTAGATGACATGACTGATAGCACTCTCACATCTGTACAGTAAATATGTAGCTGGAGACAGCACCTGTTTAGTTTAGCTTTGCATACAGACTGAAAGCAGTGGGAAACAGATTAGTCAAATTAGTCCTTTAAAGGACCAGTATGTATGATTTAGAGATTGCAGACTCTCGAAGGAGAAACTACAGTGCCCGCAAAATAGGCAAAAAACACCAACGGTCCTACCTAGAGCCAGTGTTTGGTTTGTCCGTTCTGGGCTACTGTAGAAACACGGCGGCTCAACATGGCGACCTGGCTCATTCTAAGGTAACAAAGACACAATGGTTCTTATTTTGATTATACACTAATGAAAGCATGCATGTGATTATTCTATTCAATATCTGCCAGTAGATCCTCCTAAATGTTACACACTAGACCTTTAAAGCTGCACTAATCAATAATATGAACCATGGGTCAAATGACTGATGTGAAAAGAGTTTCAGTGTCAAACTCCAACACAGTTATCACCCAGCTCTGCAGTTTGTCTCAGCATTTTTTAGCCCATTGTTTTGGTTCATTCTCACTGCTCTCAGTAGCAAGCAGCTGTTTTCAGCATCTAAAACCTACTGTATGCTACCTGCCAAGCTGGTGAACACAGTAAAACATTTAACTGCTAAAAGCTAGATATTTCTCTATTAGTTGGAGACCTAAATAAAGCTTTCATTTGTCAGGTTGACAGTAACACAACACCAATGAATGCTAATGCTGTAAGCTGGATGGACAAATACAGCTTGCTAAATTCTGAGGAAGAACAAAGTCTGGCATTTCCATGGTTGATTGTCCCGTTAGGCACAACTGTATCACAACACACAACCTCCAGCAGGTCCTCTGTAGCTTGTGTTGACCTCTGACCTCTTTATGAATCAGGGCAAGAAAAAAAGACTGTTTTCCTTGTGAGGATCAATAAAGTATCACATTATTATATTATGTGGCATTAGATGAAAGGCTCGGCTGTATAGCCCAATAATGTTTTGCTGGCACTCCACTTAGGTAATGTTACAAAGTAGAGCAGGATTGCTTCATCAGTGATAAGTGTATCGATGTTATATGTTTATGCGCTGACATGTCTTCCTTTCCCTGTATTTCTTCTGTATCCTCCAGTCTTTAGCATAAATATCTCAGCCGGAACTGTATGACAATATGACTTTGCCATTCTGAGAAGAGACAGAAGGAGCAACAGAAACAGGGAGACAGGGAGGAGGAGGTATTATCAGATCAGACTCATACAGTATATCTCAGCATATGTTCATGTGTGTATGTGCTCCCCCTACTACTAGTGTGAAGTTCTCTCACATCGAGAGCTCAGTAATTCCACAGTGGAAAAAATACTCTGTTACAAGTAAAATATTCTTTAAGTACTCAGGGTTAAAGTATTATTATTATAAGTCATTATGCAAAAGGTCTCATTTTTAAAAAATATATGGGCTCATGTCCGGCCAGTCCCTTTGCTGCATGTCATTCCCTTCTCTCTGTCCCCTGGCTTTCCTGTCTCTCTCTACTGTACTGTCAAATGAAGCAAAATTTCCCAAAAATATTTGAGACAAAACTAATACTAATAATGCAGCTGGTCTGAATCTGCAAAGTAACTAATAACGAAAGCTGGAACACATGTAGGGGAGTAAAAAGAAGTAGAGAAAAAAGTAGCAGAAAATGGAAATACGAAAGTAAAACACAAGTACCTCAAAATTGTACATAAGTACGGTGCTTGAGTAAATGTATTTAGTTACATTCCTACACTGACACTCACTGAGTACATGTGGACTAATACCCTGTACTGGATTTGATCAAACTATATCGATCATATATTGATATGACATTTACATGAACGTAAAGAAACGTGGTTATTAATCTCCATATGTACCTTATTCTAACATGATTGTATTATTCTGAACAGTAGCCAGGTTTGTGATTGTTTGCATGCAGGCCTCGCATCTCAGTGACCTCAGTAGTTGAGGATGTTTAGTTCCTGGCTGTCTGGACTCTGCTGCATTTACCACTCAGCTAGATTTGAGTTGTCTGTCTGATCACCACAGGGTTCTTCCACCAATTTTAAAGGCAAATTCAATGTTTTTCAGACCTTCTTGAGACTTCAACAAATATCATTTAAGACCCAAAAAATGTCAATTTATATGATAGAAACCGTGCCAATTTATTGAGTCCTAACATATGGCATCATTCCACTTGAATGAATGGTGCATGGTCTTCATGCGAAGAACCCAAAACACCTCAGCCCTTTGTGTTTCTGGCGAGGACACAAAACTGCTCAATGTAGACTGTTGAGAAACTGCGAGGGAGTCAGACAACACTTTCGGTGTGCTTTGTGCAATTAAATGCAGGCACTGACATAGCCCTACTAGCTGCATACCGCTGGTCTTTTTCATTACTTTTGCACAGATTTTGAAATTGACAGAAAGTACTGGAGAGATTTGAATTTAGACCTTGTGCTTGATTGAAAGTTAAGGGATCACCAAAGTGATTACAATTCATCCTGAGAAGAACATTAATGTTTGTAAAGCACTTAATAGCAATCTATCCAAAAGTTGTCAAGACATTTTACTCAAAACCACAAATGCCAAAGTTATGGTGGCATTAGAGGAAATATCAGGGGATGACCAACATAATTTGGATTTATCCTCTGGGGACCATGAATGTCTGTACACAATTTCATGAGAATCCATCCAGTATTTTTTGGGATATTTCAGTCCGACCAAAGTGGTGGATCAACCAAGATTCCAACATTGGCAATGTTGATAGCATGGGTAAAAACCTAGAGATGGGCTGTTTACATACCACAGTACCCAGGTTTCTATTCACTCCAGCTAGCATATTTATGTTTCTCAGAACCAGGATAAGGGCTTAGCCAGGATCCAGCAACCATGATATGATGTAATCTTACATGTGCAAACATACTGTAGAACTGGAATACCAAATAGCCGATAATAACTGGGATACGAGGGCACATGTAAACACACTCAGTCCACTCAGTTGCTCTTCGATCCCCGGCTGCTGTATGTACTGACTTTCACTCGCTCAGCGATTTATGTAAAATGCTGCACATTTTAGTTAACTTCATATCAGAGAAAACAGATATGGGTGGTATGAGCCTTCTCAAAAGACGAATAAGCATATTACCCAAAATGTTGAACCAGTGCTGTCGTACTTGAGTCTGAGACCATCTCAAGAACTTTTTTCTATTGTCTCGGACTTGTGCACTCGTTGGTATTTGCACTCGGAATTTTTTTCTTTTTCCGAAGTAACTTCCTCCTTTGAAACAAAACCATTGATGAAACACGCTTCAAAAAACAGGTATTGCTTTAATTCAAAATCCATCTAGAACAGGCACTAACAGCGGCCAATCAATGTGACTTCCAATCGTATGCCTGCAGAAACCCATCCCAATGGCATTCTTCTATTTCTGTCACAGTCTTGATTCTATCTCTCCCATTTGGACTCGGTCTTGACTTGGACTCGACATAGGTGGTCCTGATTACAGCACTGGATATCTATATATGGATAACACA